AGAGGTTATGGGTGGGCAGGGAAGTCAGAGATGGATCAAGTGGCTATCACTGGATGCCCAGGAAGTGCCATTGAGCATCATGGGAGAAGGTGGGAGGTGGGTACTTAAGGAGCTTTTAATACTGCCTCCTGCAAGAAACGAAGTAGGGCTAGGGAAGAAAGGGCTCTGAGAAGGAGGAGCGGGGGAAAGAGGCTGGTGTCTTCGGGAGAAGGTGATTACAAGGGAGGATCACCTGTGTGCAGAGCAACTGAGGRACCAGCTCACACAAGATGGGGAAGCCTGAAGGAGTCCATGGGGTTCAGCAGTTCAGAGGTACCCCTGAGCTCCCAAGGAATCCCTAACCCAATATTGGCCCCAGACCTGGCTCCTGTTCTGAAAGGGTAGGTCTTGCCCCAATCCCAGCCAAGKTAGCCCTTGATCACAATTCCCAGCATAGTGGCCTTGCTGCCCCTTGTAGATAAACATGTGCTACCTTCCCTGAGCCCACTGTAGCAGCAGGTTCCCATTCTAGTCAAGGGTCAAACATGGATTTTGAAGGCTGTGGGGAAGCCTGGGCCCTTTATCACAAGAGAAAGCAAAATCCAGAGAGGTACCTGATCAGATCTGGGTTGTGAGAGAATCTGTGCCTGCAGTATAGAGAACAGCAGAAATGGTCTGCACATGCTCAGGGCCAGAGTGAATCCCCTGTAACTTCACTATGTCTCTTTCTCTTTCCACACACAACTTTTTTTGTGGCGGAGGGGTGTCCTGAATCATTTGATGTAAACACAGACATCATGATACTTTACTGCTAAATAATTCAGCATGTTATTTTGTAAGAACAAAGATACTCTCTTCCATAATATTATTATATCCACCATGTGGTTATGGTACATACATGGGAATTTTTTTGCGGGGGGGGGGGATACTATGGATTGAACTCAGGGGCACTGAGCTATATAGCCCCAGCCCTATTTTGTATTTTATTTAGAGACGGCGTCTCACTGAATTGCTTAGTGCCTCACTTTTGCTGAGGCTGGGTTTGAACTCACAGTCCTCCTGCCTCATTTTCCCAAGCCACTGCAATTACAGGTGTGAACCACTGTGCCTGGCCCCATACATGAGAAATTTAACTTTGATACAATCTTTTTGTTTGCACGGGGTGGGGGGAGTGTTGATTCTGGAGATGGAACCCAGGACCTCCCAGCCCAGACATTGATTTTTTTTATCATGTTAAAAATATACACAGCATGAAATTGGTCATTTTAACCATTTTTAAGCATACTATTCATTGGTATTTAACATTCACAGTGTTGTCCAACACTCACCACTATGTACTTTCAAAACTTCCATTATCTCAAACAGAAACTGTACCCATTAAGCATTGACTTTTGCTAGTATTTTGTGGAGGTTTCTACTATCACTCTTCCTAAGGGTTATTGGCCTGTAGTTTTCTTGTGTCTTTGGCTTTGGTATCAGGATAATGCTGACCTCATTGAATGAGTTTAGACTTCCAAACTCAACAATTTCTAATTTCCTTTCACTTTCCTCCTTTTCAATTTTTGGAAGAGATTAAGATTAATTGGTATTAATTTTTTTAAATGTTTGATAGAACTCACCAGTGAAGCCATCTACTCTTGAACTCTGTTACAATGTTTTTAGTTGTTGATGCACTCTCCATACTAGTTGTAGATCTGTTCAAGTTTTCTGTCTTTGTGAGTCTATTTTGGGAGATTGTTTGTAGGAATTTGGACATAAAGTTCTGAAGAATGAAGACATTTGGCATGATGGCCATTAGTTCACATACTTGCTTTTTCTCAGATTTGGTTGAAACATTTTAGGTGTAATTACAATATGGTAGCATTGCATGCTTCTCAGCCTATAGCACCTTAGGAAGTTTGTTAACTCCTTGTATCACATGCTTGCCCTATGGGACCATGATCTTTCTTCAGAAGGAAGTTAGTAAGGAAATTATTTGGAGTAGATTTCCTCAYTTTCTGATTACCTGAAAAAATGTCTTAAACCTTTCTTCATTTTCTAAAAATAGTATTCCTAGAAATACAAATCCAGATTAACAGTCAAAAGCTGTCCTTCAGCCCTTTGAACATATTCTTTCAGTATTAGATTCTACTGTTAACTTGTGACAGCTACTTCTAATAGTTCCTTTGAATATGTATCATTTATCTGCTGCTGCTGTAACAAATGACCAAAAACCCAGGGACTTAAAACAACACTGATTTGTCATCTAAAAGTTTTGATGGTTAGAAGAGTAAAATAAGTCTCATTGGGCTAAAAGCCAGGTGCTGGTGCTAGCAAGACTGCATTCCTTTCTGGAAATTCTACAGGGAATCCCTTGTGCTTTTTCCAACTTCTAGAGACTGCTCACTTTCAGATTCATGCCCCCTCCTATCTTTAAAGCCATGGATGGTGGGTCAAGCCCTTCCCACATCACATGACCCTGATGCTGACTCTTCTGCCTTGCCTTCTACTTTTAAGGATCTTGGTGATTACATTGGGGCCACCCAGATAATCCATGATGACCTATGTAAGGTCATTTAGGTAGCAGCCTTGATTCCCCTCTGCTATATGATGTTACATGTCCACAAGTTGTGAGGACAGGAACAAGGATGTGGGCATCTTTTAGAGGCTATTACTCTGCCTACCACAGCAGGTGATTTGACTTTTGTCTTTTGGCTGCTTCTAAAATATTCTGTATCTTTGGCATTTTACCTTTGGTATATATTTCTTTCTTTTTAACTTTATGTTAAAGTGTAATATACATAAGGAAAAATGCACATATGTACAGTTCAGAGAATTTTCAACAAATTGAACACACCCAGGTTATCTTATCCCCACACACACCCAATATCTCTGTTACTAGCAGTCAGAGCAAGAAACGGAACACACCAAAGCCCACCTCCATAAGTGGGTAAACTGCTAGCCCAAATTCTAACAACAGTGATTAATTTTTTTTCTCTTTTTTCTTCATGTAGTATATACTCTCTTGCATCTGATTTTCTTGGCTCATATTTTTCTTTGCCCCTATTTTTGCTTATAGGTATAATTCATTCATTGGCATTACTATGTAGTATGCTGTTAGGTGATTATACTACAGTTTGTTTATTTTTTTCATCTGTTGATGGATATTTCAATAGTTTCTGGTTCGGGGCTGTCAATATAGTACTGTGATGAAAGTTTTGTACATGTCTTTTGAAGAATTTATGTCGTTATGTACCTAGGAATGGAATTGTTAAGTTGTGGAAAAAGTTGGAGTTTTCTTTTTGCTTATCCTATTTAGAAAACATTATTATTTAGAATGTTTGGGATATTGTCTTATGAAAGTTCCTCAGCCATTGCTCTTAAAATACTACCTCTCCATGGCCATGGTGGTGCATGCGTGAAATCCCACTGATTTAGGAGGCAAAGGCAGGAGGATCCCAAGTTCAAGGCCAGCCTGGACAACTTAGTGAGACCCTATATCAAAATAAAAGATTAAAAGGGCTTGAATGTAGGGCTAAAAGCTCAGTGCTAGCTTTTAGCCCAATGAGACTCATTTTATTCTTCTAACTACCAAAACTTTAAGATGACAAATCTGTTTTTTTAAGCCTCTGGGTTTTTGGTCATTTGTTATAGCAGCAGCAGATAAATGATTACATATGCAAAGGAACTATTAGAGTAGCTGATACAAGTTAACAATAGAATCTGATACTGAAAGAATATGTTCAAAGGACTGAGGGACAGCTTTTGAGTGTACTGTTAAAAAAACTATACACAAACTGCTACTTCATTCCTGGTGCTAATTAGATGTATGATGTTAGATTTTTTCTGCTTTTTTCCTCCATTTATCAACTTCTCTTATATTTTCCATCTTCTTTCTCTTTTCTCTGTACCACACCCAGGTTATCTTATCCCACCACACACTCAATATCTCTGTATTCCAGGTCAGTTACTTTTTTAACTCTAATCTGTTTAAACTCATTCAGTGAGTTTTTATAGACATATGACTTGCATGAAACCCTTTGCTACTTTAAAAAAATATATTGGTGCATTATAATTATACATGATAGTGGATTGATTGTTGCATATTTGTAGAGGCTCATAATATAACAATATAATTTGATCAGTTCAGTTCCCCTTCCTGTTACTTTTTAAATTCCAGAGACTTCTATTTCTTTATTCTTCTCTTAGTCTATCATAACATACAGGAAATTATGTTAAGGGGATTCATAGGCTTAATGTTATAAGCAACAAAGATAAATTAACTCAGARATGTGTTCTTAGTTTGAAAAAAATGGGAGGCTAAATCCAGATAGAGACCTACCAGGGGAAGTAAATGTCAGCTAGACTCCCRTATATTAATAAATTCTCCAGGCACCAAGTATGAAGTTTAAGCTGCCTCTTTAATGATCTGTATCAGTAAATTGTCATCTTTCTTAAATCAGTGGTGTTAGTTGATGTCCCAAGATGGTTCCCACATGAGGGGCCACCTTCTGTCAGGTATTTCTCTGTGAATTGACATGGAATTTTCCTAAGTATTTCCTTTCAGAGCTGCTATGAGGATGTGGGATGGGTGAACTCTCACAAGAGAGAAAGTATGCCTTTGTAGTTTGGTATGATTCCTTGTGCTTCTTAGCTCTGGCTGCAGTTCACTGGCCAGGGATGAATATCCTTTGCCATCCCTGAGGACTTACCCCTAGCACTTGGCAATAGAAGCCAGTACCCATATCCATATTCAGATGGAAGTGGTGAAATGCCAGCTGCCCCGAAAGGTAAACAAAATAATGGTGCTGATTGTGTTCATGGGCTGTTGATAAAGGTGCAGTTTAGAAGCTAAGACAGTGGTGTTCCTGTGAGATGCTCGCAGGAGATGCACGTCAGAGCATGTTACCACTGGAGAGGAGAAAAGGCAAAGTACCCTGCACCACCTCCAGGGAGGGAATGAAGACTGCAATTTTCAGCTCTTGTGACTGCATGTTGCTGCCAGCTCCTTCTCACCAGGCTTTTTTCAATTTTTCATGCAGAGTCGAGTTTCAGAGGCTTTCTGAAGAAAACATATTGTTGAAAAATGATCTGGGGAGGATTCAGCAGGAACTTGAAGCTGCAGAGAGCACAAATGATGCACAGAGGTAAGGCGTGTCTCAGTAGTTCACCCACACTGACAAGACAGAGTCCTCTGTATCTGTCTCTAGAATGAGCTTAGGAGGGATTGATATAGAAAGTGGGAGATGCTGGCAGATAAACCCTCATTCCAGAAAGACCTACGTGGATGAACTGTGGACTTCTGAACAGATCTGATAGGCATAGGGGATTCTGACTTCCCACCACAGGTTGGCAGCCACTGTATATGCTCCTTTGTCTCAGAAGTGTATGCATGCTGCTGCATGGTTGGCTCCACATCCACAGCTCCAGGACACAGCCCTCAAAATTGACATACAGATACTTCTCACCTATACAGAAATGCTCCATGTCACAATTAGGCGTGGGGGACAGTGAGTGTTTTTGGAGGGGTGGGAAGTGCTACTAGGGCCTTCCTGGGTAAGGAGAGTCTATCTGGTTATGTTCTGATAAATGGTTTCAGCTGTGCATTTCCTCAAGGTTCATTGCTGGTATATCAATGTCAGTGAGTCAAGGCTGGAGATGGGACAGGCMGGGCAGGGACGTGTGCACCAGAGAAGAGGAGGGTCTGTGGGGTGAGGGTGGCTTTCTGCTGTCACTACTGTAACTGCATCYAAGGACAGTTTGTTTATCCTTTTTTATTTTTTTCCCAATTATGAATTTTAAGATGAGCTCAGCTCTAAAATGCTGAGAATGTGGTTCTGGTTTGATAAATTACTGTGATGTTGCTAGAGTAATTACTATTATGTTATAGCAATTCCACAGTCTAAAATTCTTTTTTTGGTGGGGTGGGGAATAGAAATTCAGTGGATTAGACAAAAGGGAGTGAAGGGAAKGGAGTGGGGACAGGATTAGGAAAGACAGTGGAATGATTCTAATATAAGTTTCCTATGTGCATATAAGAATACACCACAGTAAATCTCAATATTGTGTACATTCACATGCCTGGGATCTTAATTAGAATAATATATATTCCATGCTTATATAATTATATCAAAAATGGATTCTACTGTTACATATAACTAAAAATAACAAATAAAAATTTATATAAACAAAATTCTTTTTTTCTCTCTGTGATTTGCCAGGACCCTTTAGCAACAAACCTCAGTAGTAGTAAGACTGCTTGGGTCTTCATGCTGCTGAGTGTGAATAAGTTACATGTTTTGCAGAAAAAGAAATATTAGTATGTGTGACTAAGGAATTTTACAGGTGCTGTTTATTCATACAATAGCGGCAACTGCCTACATATCTGAGCAATTTCACATTTCTAAATTTTCCCTGATGTGGGATTGGACTGGCTCCTCCCTCCTCMTCATCACCAGCAGCCTCAGTAGTATTGTCATAGACACCGTGGCAGTGGGTGTCCTGGGGCTGTGGAAGACCCAGGWCAGACAGAATCTGTTCTGTGACTACAAATTCAAGCTGTAATGTCATAGTGGGTGATAGCCAAGGAAAAGACACTGGTTAGTCAGAAATGATGTTRTTTATTTTGCTTTTTCAACAGAAAGGAAATTGAAGATTTAAAGAGAGACAAAGAAAAGACCTGCCTTGAAATGGAAGAACTCAACATACAGGTCAAGTATTGATGACTGGCATGAAGCCTTTTTTGTTGTTGTTGTTATTATCCTGAAATAGTCTCACACTTACAAAAAGGAAGTAGAGAGCTTTTTTCTAAAAGATGTGAGAGAGAGAGAGTTGCCAGTCCCTACTTCCCCCTCAAAATCAGGTACTGGCATGCATAGGAACCCACTCACCCCATTTTGGTTTAGCAGGTGTCTGGAATGTTGGCAGTTATGTGTGGCATTAGTCTCCTTATATTAGTCTGTCCTTGATTGTTAAGACCTTGACATTTTCAAGATTGCAGGTGGCCACTATGAGGATGTCCCTCCATCTGAGTTGTCTAATAGCTCCTTGTGATAAGTCAGATTCTCTGTTTGGGGTAGGGACAACTCAGAAGTGATGCTATATCCCCATTTCATCCTCTCAGAGACACAATGTTTTGTCCCTTTGTTGAACACTTTGATTGCTTGGGTAAGGTGGTGTTGACTGAGCCTCTCCACAGTTACTTTTCCCTTTGTAATTCATATTTAACAGGGAGAAGCTTTGGTATTATGTAAATATCCTGCTCTTTATCAACTCTCACTCCCTAATTTTGGCAGCCTTTTGTATTTTGGTGGAATCAGTTACAATTATGATAGCTAATCTCCCCATCTTAATATTATTAATTGGTATTCTTCTCCCATTAACTTATTGAGTGACTTGTATCATATAATGATTTGATGGGTTATAATATATTACAATTAGTATTTATTTTGATGCTCAGATTGTCTCAGATTTGGGCAATGGGAGCCCTTTGTAGGTAGCATCTTATGTTCTTTGGATAGGTCCTAATCGTTCTTTGAGTACTTCCTTACTTTCTGGTAACCCAAGATGTTCTGGGTTCTAGTCATATTTCCCCTGCTCCAGCCTTGGAGTCTGCTATTTCTCCAGGGAGCCCTTGGTTACTTCTAGCYAAGGATAGTCTTTAGAATGGTCTTTAGACCATTGGATGGCACTGGATGTGCTCATTGTTCCTGGGGTATGCTGCTTCCAGGAGATGTTAGTGGATACAGCTAGGACATGTATGTGTTTATACAGATGCATATAGTTTCAMGTATGTTTATTTATTTACCTCTATATTGAAAACTATGAATTCAAACCCATATCTGCAATTTGCACCCAACATCTTAGGGATAATGCTAGTTTTCTCCTTTTTTGTATTTGTAACCCATTTCTCCAATRAGATATCTGATTTCCATCACCCTCATTATGGTTACTTATTATCTGATCATTATCTCTTACTCTGTATATAAATGTTCTTTTCACCTCCTATGCTGATCCTCCTTCTGCCCCCAATACAAAAATGCATTTTGTACTTTGTTCTTCTTCCTGTCTTTTAATTAAGACTAATTAAGGAATAAGCAATCAACCTAGAATGTGTTATCCTTGGCTTTTTAAAAAAATTGTTATTAATAATTATAGATTCATACATATTTATAAGAAATACAGAGCAATCCCTTATACACTTTAGTTTTCCTCAGTGGTAACATTTTTCAAAACAATAGTGCAATATCTGTGTTAGTATTTTAGGGTTGTCAAAATTCCATATTACAGACTATGAGGGTTTAAATAATAAAAATTCATTTCATCACAATTTTTATGTCTAAAAGTTTGAGATCAAGGTACCTACAGGGTTGGTTTCTTCTGAGGTCTCTTTCCTTGGCTTGAAGATGGTACCTTCTCCTTCTTTGTTTACATAGTTGTCCCTCTGTACATGTATGTGTCCTAATCTCCTCTTCATATAAGGTTGCCAGTCATATTGGATTAAGGCCTATCTATATGATCTCATTACCTTAATAACCTCTTTCAAGACCCATCTCCAAATACATTCATATTCTGAAGTGTCAGGGGTTAAGACATATGACTCTGGGTAGAGGACACAATTCAGCCTATAATAAATATCACAGCCAAGATATTGACATCAATTAAATCCATGGATCATATTTAGATTTATCCAGTTTTACTTGTGTACTCTTATGTATGTGTGTATGTTGAATTCATCATCTGTGTAGGTTTCTGTATCCACCACCACAGTCAAGATATTGAATATTTCTAACATCMTGGGCATTCCGAGTGTTGCCCTTTTATGACCATGCCAACTTTCTCCCTGCCCACCTAATCCTGACAGCCACTAAAATGTCCTGTTTCTAAACTTTTATTTCAAAATATTATACAAGTAGAATGATATAGAATGTGACTTTTAGGATTGTCTTTTTTACCTATCATAATTCCTTGAAGAGTCATCCAAGTGTTGTGTATATCAGTAGTTGTTTTTATTGCTGAGTAGTTCCTGTGGAACGGACATACAACAGCTTGTTTTCACATTACAATAATGACTGAGTTGTGTGGTAGTCACGTTTGGTTGTTTTTATTTGTTTGTTTGTTTGCTTCATTGAAGTATATCTCTAACCCTTTTTATTTTTTATTTTGAGACAGGGTCTGGCTTAGCCCAGGTCAGCCTCAAACTTTGAAGGCTATCCAGCCTCAAACTTTTGAAGGATATATGACTGATTCCAAGTTTGGGCTATTACAAATAAAGCTGCTACAAATATTGTTACTCTGGTTTTTGTGTGAACATAAGTTTTTGTTTTACCAGGATAAACTCCTAAGACAATAATAACTAAGTTGTGTGATAGCCACATGTTTAGTTTGTTTGTTTCATGGAGGTATATCACTAACACTTTTTTTTTTTTTTTGAGACAGGGTCTTGCTTAGTTGCCCAGATCAGTCTCAAACTTGCCATCCTCCTACCTCAACCTCCCACGTCTCTGGGGGTAACAGGCATGTGCCACTGTGCCCAACACATTTATTTTTATAAGAAACTCCAAAACTGTTTCCTAGCATGCCTGTAACATTTTATACTCTTACCAGCATGTATGTATGATCTGGTTTCTCTACATCCTTGCCAACATTTTGTGTTTTGAGTATTTTGTATTATTGACATTCTGTTGGCTATGTACTGAGATGGGCAGGCTGGAGGGGGTACAGTTCAGTATTTTCCTTTCCATAGGTCGATTAAGTTCTAGGGAGTTATTTTCCTTAGGGCCTGAAAACAATATCCTCTGGGTGTCCTTCTATCTAGTCAACATTTTAGTTAGCATGGGTTGCTTCACAAAATACACTGAGTGACTTGAGCAACAGATACTTATTTCTTACTGTTCTAGAGGCTGGAAGTCTGAGATCAAGGGACATTGGTCCTGGCTTCTCACCATGTCCTCACAAGGCTTAAAGAGAGAAATTTCTCTCTTGCTGTCTATAATTGCACTAATCATATTATATAAGAAGCCCACTTTTTAAAATTTTATTCTAATTTGTAATATGACAGCAGAATGCATTTCAATTTATATTCCACAAAGCACAATTTTTCGTGTCTCTGGTTGTTCACAAAGTAGAGTCACACCATTTGGGKMTTCATACATGTACTTAGGGTAATGATGTCCATCTCATTCCACCGTCTTTCCTACCCCTATGCCCCTTCCTTCCTTTTTGCTCTATCTAAAGTTCATCCATACCTCCCATGTTCCCCCCTACCATCCCGCCAGTCTCCATTATGGATTAGCACCCTCATATCAGAGAAAACATTCGGCATTTGGTTTTTTGGGATTGGCTTATTTCACTTAGCTTAATATTCTCCACCTCCATCCATTTACCTGCAAATGCCATGATTTTATTCTCTTTTAATGGTGAGTAATATTTCATTATATATATACACCACATTTTCTTTATCCATTCATCTACTGAAGGGCTCTAGGTTGGTTCTACAATTTAACTATTGTGAATTGTGCTGCTGTAAACATTGATGTGGCTGTGTCCCTGTAGTATGCTGTTTTTAAGTCCTTTGGGTATAAACTRAGGAGTGGGATAGCTGRGTCAAATKGTGKTTCCATTCCCAGTTTTCCAAGGAATCTCCATACTKCTTTCCAKATTGGCTKCACCADTTTRCARTCCCACCARCAATGTATGAGTGTGCCTTTTCCCCCACATCCTCGCCAACACTTATTGTTGTTTGTATTCTTAATAGCTGCCATTCTGACTGGAGTGAGATGAAATCTTAGAGTAGTTTTGATTTGCACTTCTCTAATTGCTAGAGATGTTGAATATTTTTTCATATATTTGTTGATTGATTGTATATCATCTTCTGAGAAGGATCTGTTCAGTTCTTGGCCCATTTATTGACTGGGTTATTTGTTTTTTTGGTGTTAAGATTTTTGAGTTCTTTATATATCCTGAAGATTAATGCTTTGTCTGATGTGTGTATGGTAAAAATTTGCTCCCATTCTGTAGGTTCTCTGTTTACTTCACAGATTGATCCTTTTGCTGAGAAGAACTTTTAATTTGAATCCATCCCATTTATTGATTCTTGATTTTAATTCTTGTGCTATAGGAGTCTTATTAAGGAAGTTGGGGCCTAATTCGACATGATGGAGATTTGGGCCTACTTTTTTCTAGAAGCCCACTTATGTGACCTCATTTAACCTAAATTATTTCCTGAAAGCCCCATCCCCAACCCTAAACACTGGCTTCAATGTGTGGATTTCAGAGAAACACAGTTTGAAGCAATCACTTTCCCCTGAGGAAGCCTGAAGGGATTTTTCTCTAATTTTAACTGTGAGAACCTGATCAGGCTTAGAGACATGGGAGGCTCCGTGACCGTGCCCCCACCCCTGGCACACTAGCTCTCAGGTTAGCCCAGGCCTAGAGTCTCCAATATTTGTCTTTACAGATAAAGCTTTCCTATCAGTTTCCTGCTGAAGCCTTCTGCTCCTGATAAACTGATTGTATCTCTCCCAACACCGGTCTCTCCAGTTTTCAGAATGTTTGGTTTGTCCTGTGACTTCAGTTCTCTGATGGATCTAAGATTTGCTGCTTTTCAGTTTGTTCAGCTTTTCCTTTTTTTTTTTTTATACCTTTATTTATTTATTTTTATGTGGTGCTGAGGATTGAACCCAGTGCCTCACACTTGCAAGGCAAGTGCTCCGCAATTGAGCTACAACCCCAGCCCCATTTTTCAGCTTTTTCTTGTTGGCAGGATGGGAGTGATAATTTCTAAGCTCTTTACATGTGAGACCTGAAACCAGAAGTAGTATGTTTTTGATTTGAGCTTCTGTACATGCTGTGCCCATGTACAGAAATAGAGTTGACTTTTTTGTGCTAATTTTGCATCCTGTGGCCTTGCTGAACTTGCTTATTCTAGGAGTTTCTTTGTCGCCTTCTTCATCTCAAACCCTTGCTTTTGCCAAAGAAAAGTCCCTACAACTCATCTCTCATGGTGCCTGCTCTTCTCACATGGCCAATGAAAACAGCTTCTGCCTCAATCCACTCGTAGAACAGCAGCTTGTCTTGGCTCCCAGCTCCCAGTGTTCATTTCCATGGTGAGCCTGTGGTAGCTTTGCTTGGACCTTGCTGTAGTTTGATCTGGAGTGCCCCCCTGCCCAAGGCCCATGAATTAAAGACTTATTCCACAGAGTGGCACTATTTGGAGGTGGTAGAATCTTTAAGAAGTGGGGCCTGGTCATTGAGGGTATGCTTCACAAAGGGACTGTGGGATGCCACCCCTTCCTTTTTCTCTGTCTTTGTTTCCTGAGGTAAGCATCTTTGTTCTACCATGTGCAAACCACCATGATGTCTATTGCTATACCACATGACCCAAAGCCATAGGGTCAATTGGTCATGGACTGAAATCTCCAAAACTATGAGCCAAAATAAGCCTTTTCTTTTTATAAATTGATTATTTGAGGTATTGGTTACATTTTTAAAAGGTGACTTACATAAGCCTCATGGAGGATAATGATGGATTCACTTAAGAACACTTAYGGCTCTGCATTTGCTGAGGGTGGGCAGCCTCTTGTGGAAATGGTCCATGTAGGTCCTTCCTGGTTTCAGAGTAGCCTCTCTGCCCTTTCCCTTCTCATGTTCCCTCTGTAAAATATTTATAAATGGGTTTATAAATAACCATTTGTCCTCTTTCCCCAAAAAATTTTATTATGAAAACCTTTAAACATATATAAGTGGAAGTAGCATATACTGTTCACCTACCTATCACAACCTTAATTGTGGTAGGTAGGTGAACAGTATATGTTATTGGTATACATGCTTTTAGTTCTCTGTTTACGTCTCCATGTTTATTGTGTCTATTCTTTGAACTATTTGAAGGTAGATTACAGATACCATGATACTTCTTTCCTAAATATTTCATCAGGCGTTTTCTTTCTTTTTTWAAAATATTTATTTACTTTTTAGTTGTGGTTGGACACAATATCTTTATTTTATTTATTTATTTTTATATGGTGCTGAGGATTGAACCCAGAGCCTCACACRTGCTAGACAAATGCTCTACCACTGAGCCACAACCCCAGCCCCTCATCAGGCGTTTTCTAAAAATAGCTTCTATCTAACCACACTATTGATCTCACACTTAAGAAACTTAACTGTAACTATCTAACACCATCCAGAATTCAGACCACATTCACATTTTTCCACTTATTCAAAAATGGCTTACGTAATAAAATCTTTGACCCTAGAATGCAGTTATGGCTGACACATTTTATTTAGCTATCAAATCAATTTGTTGGCATAAACTAACCACACAATTGTACTCATGGAACCTGTAGATCAGGGATTCAGACACAGGCATATCCCTGATGGTTTGTCCCTGCTGTGTGGTGTTGGGGCTGTGACTAGGAAGACTGGACACACAAGCTGATCATCTGGGGACTCCTTCTGAATGTRTTTGTTAACACAGGTCCTCTCTGTGAGACTGGGATCCTGATAGATAAAAGTCATTCCCCATCTTTCTCACTGAGTCCCCAGAGCCACATGGGCCCATGTTCAAATAGGCCATTACTGCAGAAGAGGACATGAGTGGCAGGTGCTACCAGGGGACATCTGTGCAAATATAGTCCACCCAAGCATCTCATTAATCTTTTTGACCCRTATCTCCAGTTTTTTCTCATGCTTTTAGAAGAGACCAGCTGGTTGTCTCTGGCACCATCATAATATGGTAATCTACATTCTGGATTACCAGGGTGCTTCCTAAGAGGTAGTTTAGTCTRGTCCTATGTCATATGTTTGTTTTATAAACTGGAAATTAGACCTAAAATCTTGATCAGATTGAGAGCAGTTATCTTTGACACAAATATCCCTTATTTTAACCTGTGCTTAGGAGGTAGCTGCTGATATATCAGCTTCTGCAGTAAAAGCTAACTGGAGGCAAGTTAGAGGTTAAAGAAAATGATCATCATAAACATCTGTCACTAGAGGCAGATGACATCTACGCCTCCTGACACAAAGCCCAGAGAAGTTACAGCATCACCTATGTAGCACCTGGCCAAGAACACATCACATGAGACAACAGGAAGCATCAGACAGACACTAAATAAAGAACTGTTAAAATGGAGGAGGAATCGTATTTGACAAAAATGTCAATAACAAAAAGACCTTTAAAAGACTATGGAAACATCCCATATTCAAGAAGGCCAAGACTTCATAGAGGAGACACCTTCTTACCCTGTACTGGGGAAGGGGTGCTATAAAGGACATCACTGGGCCAGTTGTTAAAACTGGAATGTGTGTGGGACATCCAGGTTACCACATGAGAGAGCACTTCTCTTAATAGGAAACTTGCTGCAGGGCTGGGGTGGGGGAAGATAACAACCTGTATATGTGTGTGCATTCGCACGTACACTTGTATACACATGTGATAGCGCAAATGGCAGAGCAGTTGGGGAGGATGCTGTCATTGGGGAGTCTGACTGAAGGGTGTGTGAATTTTCCTTGTAATATTCTTGAAATTGGCCTGTACATTTTAAATTCTTTCCAAAGACTTTAAATACTAAAGTTGAGTAGAAAAAGATTGACTAGTTAGTTTATTTTTATTTATTTATTTATTTTTGGAAAGGATGACTTTTATTTCCATCCTGAATCATTATCATACCATTATTTAAACATAGTCCTGAAAAAACATAGTCCAAAAAAGTCCTGAAATAATTTAAACTGAAGGCATAGAACAAATCAAAATAYTTAACTGTAAAAGATTAAATAAGAAAATGCAAATATTTCCACAGTAGCAATAAATTATGAACAAGTTTCCATCACCAAATATCATTCTGACCAAGAGCTCTAATCTTTTCTCATGAAATCTRTAGCTTAAGCTGATTCTGAGATTTCCATGATAAAAATAATATTGAAAAACAATCTTCTTCCTAAAGACTCATTAGAGCACCAGGTTCAATATAAGTATTTTATATATAACAAAGTAGCAGTTATGATAGTTGTTGATGGATGGCCTTTCCCCAAGAAATGATACATTCTTACAAACTGTTTTTAAAAAATAGCAAAGTTGGTTACAAAATTCTATTTGGGAAGCAGGAAAAAACTTGTTCCATGTCAATTAGAATATCAAAGCACTTTATTATCAAATTGCTTCAAAAGCCAGTCATCGCATAACAGTAATATGCTGCATGGGGAATTCCACTATATCATGGTGACATGTTGACCATACAGTGCATTAAGGGATTGAACAAATCAGTAGCAATTACTGTCACCAATTTTTATTTATTCCAAAGAGATATGTTTTTTAAAAATCATTATAAAACTAACTGGAATAATCAGTGACATGCTACAGATACAATAAACCCCTCCAATGCAATAGCTAAGTTTGATAATAAAGTGGTCATGCTTCTTAATATATTGTGATATTTTGAAATACATTCTCTGGTTATCAATACCATTATTATAGAGGTCACTTATAAATTAGCTCAGTTTCTGAACTAGGTTTTCTAACTGAAACTTTTTTCAAGTTTATTTATATTAGGAGTTGAAGAAAGATTCCATTTCTATTGATGAAATCAAGGCTATCCTTAGAGGACAAGATGAATGTACATCAGTATTGAAAATCAATGTCATTTTTTACCAAAAATCCAGACAGAACTACCCAGAACTTAAGACATGGTAGCAACATCTTCACCCTCAGTTCTAAAGTTCTAGAGAAGGGATGAGGTGAGATTAATTCAGAGAAGAGCTTGAGAACAGCATAGAGACTCACTAACCTTGCATGAATCCATATTGAAGCAACTTCGAGGTTCCACTGTGTGCTAATTAAACCCACAAAAACAAAATGGTGTCAGCCTAGATCTGGGGAGATTATGTGTGTACTGATAGTAGTGCTTCAGAGGATGCTGCTTAGCTGCCAACACTCTGTGTCCTCAAAACTGACTGCTGTCGAAAAATCAAATAAGAAAAACTGGACTGTAAGAAGATAGTTATGACCCCCCCCMAAAAAAAAAAACCAAAAAAACAAGAATAGCTGAAATTACCTTGGTAAAAGACTATAAGACCAACTTTTAGGTATGTTTTGGTGCCTGTTGTCTTCACTCATTTATCCCATGTGTTTGCTGTACACCCACTACCCACTGAGCAATGGCCACTGAGAGAAAGCAAAATGTACTGTGTGGTGGCTATGCTCCTGCTAGAAGCTGTGCTTATGTCTCCAGTGATAGAGACCAAAGGAGGATTATGAAGAGATTTTTACACTTCAAGATTAATTAGTTTTTTTAAAACTTTAAATTGCTTTAAATATGTTAGAAGTAGCCATGGACCAAATGAAGAAGATGTGGAAGTTCTTCAGAATGGTAGTTTCAGTGGTCATGGCACATAACCACCTCTGGTGGCATAAGTGTGTCTCACTTCTAGGTGACAGAGCAGGGCTTCTGGTCCTAAGCACCCCCAATACTGAGGCTGGACCATCTTCGGCTCTATGGGACATCCAGTGCCAGATGCCACTGGCTTCCCCTTCTTCTAATTGGGACCACTAGAATGATCTAAATTGAGCTACTGGTTTAAAAGCATTTGTTTTAATCTATTTTAACCTTTTTTTTTTTTCCTGTAGATTCAGAAATACAAGGATGAATTGTCACAACTCAACCGTAGAGTCCTTCAGCTGGAAGGAGATGCTTCTACACATCAGGCCCAAAAGGAGAAGAATCACATTGCCCTTCAGCTGTTAAGGCAGAGGCTGGAGGAGGCTAGGCGCCGGGAGGAGCAGCAGGTGAGTGGACTAAGGCAGCACCATCAAGGTCCTGCCCTGCAACCAGGCAGTGGGAAGCCAGGCGATGGAGACTCAGCCACAAGCAGGTCAATAAACCCTGATGTCTTGGAGGTGGGTGCCCTAGCAGTGAGATGAGGAGTTTCCTAAGCCCTAGAGAAGTGGGTAGACTTGAGCAGCTTTGGCACATCATCAGGATCCAGAAAGAGTAGAGGGTAGTTTGGCAAATTATGTCTCGAGAGCCTCAGGAATGTCTCTGATTTGAGTTCATAATCATGCTTATAGAAATTACAGCTAAGAACATTATGGGAAATCTAACTGGAAGAATTCTCATTGCTGTGGTATTTATTATAGCAAAATAGACTGGAGTCGGTTTGAATCATCACACCAGATTTTTTAAAAATATTTTTAGTTGTGAGTGGACACAATACATTTATTTATTTATTTATTTATGTGGTGCTGAGCATTGAACCCAGTGCCTCACACATGCTAGGCAAGTGCTCTACCACTGAGCCACGACCCCAGCCCCCCCCCCAAAAGATTCTTATAACACTTGATGTCTTGGGAAAACAGTCCAGTTACACTAAGGAGGACAGCACTATGCTCTCTCTTACTGAAATATCTTATTGATAATATGTGTGTAGAAGAGGGATGAAGGAGTCATGACAGCATGTCAGGTTGGGGCCTGGCTCAAGGGATCCTGGGGGTGTTTAAATTTGTAACATTTTCTTTTGTGTAATTTTCTGAAGTTTCTACATTCAACATGTATTAGATTGCTAAGATATTTCTTATACTTGTAATTTTTTCTTTTTAATCAGGATAACCAAATCAAAAAACTTGAAGTTGAACTTCAACACGTGAATCAGGAATGTCAGAATCTGAGGCTGTCACAGTCAGAGCTGACAGTGAGCCTTGAAGAAAGTCAAGAACAGGTGTGTGCGGCAGTCAGAAATACTTGATATAGTCGCAGCCTGAAAGGAACATCAACAAAATGCTGATGGACAGCATCGCCAAGCCTAGTTGAGCCCAGAGAAGTTATTAGGCAGCCTGAGGTCATACAGCTAGTAAGGGATTTAACATGTCTAGGACTGAAGCTGGTTCCTTTCTTTTCACCATACCTCACATGTGATCCCTGATGGAGCCATGGTCCTTACTCCTGTCGTGGGTCTCAGAGATGAAGCAAGGGTGAACTGTGTTCTAGATGAAACCTCAGCAAACCAGTTTAAGTTGTGTTTAGACCTTATCTCCAGTTGCCTGAAGGAGTTGGCTAAGTTATGCAGTTAATCACATTCTGTGACCTCCAGCCAGAGCTGTGCCTCAGAAGTGTGAACTCCTCACTTAAAGAAGGATTAGCATGCATGGCTTGCATGGGTTATACTACTCCTGTGTAGCAGGCTGCAAAGATGCTGGATGGGACAGAACCTGATCCTTCCATAGATGCATCATGAAATCCTAGTACCATCTTGCTGAGGATGACAGGCATAAGTTTTCATGACACGTGGCGAAGCTCTGTCTAATGGGAGCTTGGCTGTCATAATTCCGGGCTCTCTGAATTCCTAGGTGTTGCAGCATACTCAGGGACCACAAAGAAGGGGGAGTAGGCCCTCCTGCCCTTTCAGTTGTGGGGTATCCTTAAATGCAGAGACTAACTCACCAATGATTTCGCTTCTGTGTCTGCTAATGATTCTGAACCCTTAGTCATACTACAACCATTGTTACTTCTCTCCATGTAGTTACACAGCGCCCATCTGAGGCTGAAGGCAGCCCAATCCCAGCATGCACAGGAGGTTCAGCACCTGCAGGAGCAGAAGAGCCAGCTGGTGCCTAGGGCCCGTGTGACTGAGCTGCAGCACCTACTCAGCGTCCAAGAAAAGGAGGCTGGGAGACTACTGGATGCACAGAGAGTGAGTGGGGGCACCACACTCTGAGCTAGCTATTTGGGAGAAGGTTCTGAAGGCCAGCTGATGGAATGGCAGAGTATGCTTGGATTACTGGTCCTTAGTTAACCAGAAACTGCCCAACTGTAAAGTCCAAGGCCCAGGAGTGGGTGGCTCTATGGCCACCTCCAGCAACTTGAAGGCTAGTTGTAGAGAAGCTGTGAGCTTCCATTCCTTACCATAACAAAGAGACTCTCTAAGCCTGTGTTGAAGATAGCTCAGGGAGAGGAGGGGATCCTCTCAGGAGTATACAGAAAGGAGTTAGCTGACCCTAAAGGCTACTTCAACCCATCTAAGTCAGGGATCATCTATGGGAACTCACTTTGGAGTCATTTATAATTAAAATTCTAGGGGAACTCACTTTGGAGTCATTTATAATTAAAATTCTAGGACCAGGTCTTTGAAGACAAAGTAATCAATAGATTCTCTCTGGACTACAAAGAGAGGTGGTCAGTTGGTGGCCCTTTGCAGACATTTTTAAACTACTACTCTACAGAGTAGTAGGAAGGTCATCTACAGTCACGCTTAGATTTGTACATTTTAGCCAATTTAAATAAGTCCTGAGATGATTCTGTTTTAAATGTAAATACTGGTGTGTAACCTTCTGTGGCAGGAAGAACATGAAAGGCAGATGAAAACCAAGGAAGGGCAGGCCAAAGAGGCAGAGATGTACTTGCAGAATGTAGAATGGCTCCTACAAGAGAAGGTGGATGAGTTGAGAGAACAAGTGAGTTTCAATGCTTCTTATCATTTCCTTCAGTCCTTCCCCCCTCACACATTTTTTATTGGTGCATTATAAACTATACATAATAGTGGGATTCATTGCTATACAAACATATAACAATGAGGGCAACATAAAAATATAATTTGGCCAATATCTTTTTTTTAATTTTTACTTTTTAAAATTTGTTCTAATTAGTTATATATGACAGTAGAATGCACTTTGACACATCATACATAAATGGTATATAATTTCTCATTCTTCTGGTTGTACATGATGTAGAATCATACTGGTCATGCAGTCATGTATGTTCACAGGGTAATAATGTCAGATACATTCTACTATCCTTTATACTTCCATACCCCCTCCCCTCTCTTCAATCCCCTCTACCTAATTCATAGTAATTCTGTTCTTCCCTAGCCTGCCCCGTTTATTGTAAATTAGCATCCACATAGCAGAGAAAACATTCAGCCTTTGTTTTTTGGGAATTGGCTTATCTCGCTTAGCATGATATTCTCCAGCTCCATTCCATTTAACAGCAAATGCTATCATTTCATTCTTCTTTAAGCTGGGTAATTATCCACATTTTCTTTATCTATTAATCTACTGGACATCTAGGTTGGTTCCATAGTTTAGCTATTGTGAATTGAGCTTCTATGAACATTGATGTGGCTGCATCACTATAGTATGCTGATTTTAAGTCCTTTGGGTATAAACCAAGGAGTGGGAAAGCTGGGTCAAGTGGTGGTTCCATCCCAAGGTTTCTGAGGAATCTCCATACCACTTTCTTTTTTTAAATTTTTTTTTCATTTCCTTCATAGCATTTATTCAGTGTCTGAAATCATATAATTGATTAGCTTACTTATTACCAACATTCACCAGAATGTAGGCTCCAATGGAAAGGGTAAATGGTTCAGCTACAATTATTGAGGAGAGGATAACAGAAGAGCATAGATTCAATTCATTGAAAACAAAACGTTAACATGCTGAGTGTGTTGGCACAGGCCTAGAATTCCAGCAACTCAGGGGGCTGAGGCAGGGAAATTGTAAATTCAAGGCCAGTCTGGGCAACTTAGTGAAGCCCTTCCTAAAAAAAGAGCAGGGGGGTTGGCGGGGGTTGGACCATGATATAACTTGATGGCAGAGTGCTTGCCTCACATTCTGGAGGCTCTTGGTTCAATCCCCAGCACAGGAAAAAAAACAACGTGAACATTACTTTGTGCCTAAAAGAAGAGTCAGGAGACTGGAGAGAAAAAGTTTCTGTCCTCTTGATTTTAATACTCTGACAAGCTATATTTCTTGTATTTTTAAAAAATTAAATCATACGTACTCAAACTTTCAGACTGAATAAAGTTCACTATACTTTTAAGAGCAAACTGGCTCTGCTATTTGTTTTTATTAAGTCATGGAATAAGTTACTTCACCTCTGAGCCTCAGTTTTTGACCTGAGTTTTGACCATACCACTTTCCATAGTGGTAGTATCAATTTGCAGTCCCACCAGCAATGTATGAGTGTACCTTTTCCCCCACATCCTCGCCAACATTTATTTTTACTTGTATTCTTGATAACTGCCGTTCTGACCAGACTGAGATGAAGTCTCAGTTTTTGTTTTTTTTTTTTTAATTTTAATATTTATTTTTTAGTTTTCGGTGGACACAATGTCATTGTTTGTATGTGGTGCTGAGGATCGAACCTGGGCCACACGCATGCCAGGCGAGCGCGCTACCGCTTGAGCCACATCCCCAGCCCAAAGTCTCAGTTTTGATTTGCACTTCTCTAATTGCTAGAGGTGTTGAACATTTTTCATATATTTGTTGATTGATTGTGTATCATCTTCTGTGAAGTGTCTGTTCAGTTCCTTTGCCCATTTATTGATTGGGTTATTTATTTATTTATTTTTGGTGTTAAGTTTTTTGAGTTCTTTATATATCCTGGAGATTAATGCTCATATCCTGGAGATTAAAGCTCTATCTGAGGTGCATGTGGTAAAGATTTTCTCCCATTCTGTAGGCTCTCTCTTCACATTATTGTTTCCTTTGCTGAGAAGCAGCTTTTTAGTTGGAATCCATCCCTTGTATTGATTCTTGATTTTACTTCTTTAGGAGTCTTATTAAGGAAGTCAGATCCTAGGCTGACATGGTGAGGATCGGGGCCTACTTTTTTTCCTATTAGGTACAGGGTCTCTGTTCTAGTGCCTATGATTCTCTTTGAGTTGAGTTTCATGCAGGCTGATAGATAAGGGTTTAATTTCATTTTGTTACATGTGGATTTCCAGTTTTCCCAGCACCATTTGTTGAATAGGCTTTCTTTTCTCCAATCAATGTTTTTGGCGCATTTGTCTAGTAATAGATAACTGTATATATGTGGGTTTGTCTCCGTCTCTTCTATTCTGTACTACTTGTCTACATGTCTGTTTCAGCACAATTTTCCCTTTTACGTTTAACATCTAACCCAGAAAAAGCCTGTCTTCACAGAATCCAAAGAACCCCATTCCCATTTTGATTCTATGGCTCATCTAAACTTCAATTGGAGGATGTACAAATCATTTTCAGTAGATAAAAAAGTAAAAGTAATCTGTAGATTAATTTTGCTAAATACTATATTTAGTATTTATATATTTAGTATTTATATGCTATATTTGTACATCATATGTGTTTTCTTTTGGAAATCTCTTTTTGAGATGTTCACACCAAAAAAAGGACATCATTTGTTCATTTATTGGTTCATTCTTCTTTTTTATTTTTCTTTTGGTACCAAGGATTGAACCCAGGGGTGCTCAACCATTGAGCAACATCCCCAGCCCGTTTTTATATTTTATCTAGAGATGGGATTTTGCCAAGTTGCTCAGTGCCTCAATTGGCTTTGAATTCGAAATCCTCCTGCCTCAGCCTCACAAGCCTCTGGGATTACAGGCATGCACCACTGCACCTGGCTTGTTGATTCATTCTTTCAGAAGATGCCCTCTGGCACTTACTCCATTGCACCCCTCCTTCCTGAGAAACCCCTCCCCTCTACCTCCTCTCTGACCCCTGGCTCCTGTAACTTCTGTGGTTTTGCTGCTTATTTCACATGAGACCAGACTCTCCAGGGAGAACCTGCTAGCATTCTGACATCTTGTCACCCATGTCCTGCGTCCTCCACCTCCTCTCTGGCCACTACCTCCACAGCCGCTCTTTCCTGGTACCCTCACTGCCACTAGGAAACAAATCTTATAGCTCCCTATCTTCCCCAGCCCTACCAGTTCTCCTCTCCTCTTGAGTTTGTGAACCTGTCACTCCCTCCATGAGTTCACACCTAATCCTTAGAGCCGCCCTCAAAGTAGACACTGAGTCTAACCACAACTCACTTCATCTCTGGCATTCTGACTGGTTTCCTGTGTCCTCCACCAGTCAACTCTCAGCACATCTTTTAAAACATGAATTTCATCCAGTCCTCAGAACCAGCCTTCCCATGTCTCCCAAGTAAAAAATACAGTTTTTACAATAGCATCTGAAGTCCCAGAGTTCCCTCCCTTTTCCCTCTCTCCTCCCCTTGTCTGCCTACGGCTACACACGTCCCTCTAGCCACAGTTCACCCCATCTACATGCCAGCCACGGGGCTTATTCTTCCCTCTGCCTGCGGTGTCCACACCTAATGATTTGCTCCCTGGTTTTGTTCACACCTCTTATTCAGATATCCTCAGAAATGTGGTTTACCCCACCCAAAATGAAACATGCGCAGCCCACCCCCAGCTATCTGTCCACTGCTGGGTTCCTTAGCAAATGCATGCTTCTATCCTCTGCCTTCTCCTGTTGGAATAAGTGCTCCATGAGAACAGGGATGTTACTAGAATAGTATGCACACATGGGGGTGTGTAGTAACTACTCGTTAAGTGAACAGATTCCATGTGGGGTTCACAAAGCCCAACACTCAGCCCTGAGCCTTCGTGTCTCAGGAAAGATCATGGAAGGGCTGCTGACTTGAACAGCCTGGGTCCACCTCTGAAGCCTGTCCTGCTGTGGTTTGTGTGATGACTGGCTCACACACAGCTACAAGGGAGAATGCAGTGCCTCCATGTGTCCTGTGTGACATCACAGGCAGCATAGCACCCGAGACAAATCAAACATTTTTGGCAATCTTGAAGATTTTGTTTCACACTGCATTAAAATAAGAGGGCTTTTTTTTTTTTTTGAGTCCCAATTTTGGTCTTTTTAGTCTTTATTTCATGGTTAAAAAAAAAAAAAATATTCTCATGAAGTTGCCTTCAATTATCCACCACATGATTCAGCATATTCTCAATTTCCTCCCTCAGGCCAGGGAACAAATATACCATATCTAATATTTGCATCACATCTCTAAGAACCCAAAATTATGCTTGGAACAGAGATGAAAGGATAAGAGGGAGCAGGCTTGTTTGTGTAACTTTTCTGCACTGGATTCACAGTAAAGCATGGCTTTTTCTTCTCTCTAGTTCAAAAAGAACACTAAATCTGATCTGCTGCTCAAGGAACTCTATGTGGAAAATGCTCACCTCATGAAGGCTCTTCAGGTCACAGAAGAGAAGCAACGAGGTGCTGAGAGCAAAAACCGCATTTTGGAAGAAAAAGTCCATGCTCTCAACAAACTTATCAATAAGATTGCCCTAGCATCCCTCTCTGTGTAAATACTGCTGGTTTCCTAGAATTCATTCTAAGGAATGTTTTGTTTCTGTTTTTGCAGTACTAGGGATTGAACCAAGGGGTGCTCTATCACTGAAATACATCTCCAGCCCTTTTAAAGAATTTTTAAAATTTTTTATATAGGGTTTAAATTGCCCAGGCTGGCCTGGAACTTGAGATCTCCTATCTCACCCTCCCAAGTACAATAACAGGGATTATAGGCCCGGGCCATTACACCCAGCTTGAAGAACATCTTTTAAAATTAAGCCACTCTGATTCCATAATTTGCTATGGTTCATCATCTGTGCACCCTCAGAAACTAAGGATTGTAATTCTTCACCCCCAAATTAACGAATGTCCACTATGTGCCAGGTGTTGGAAAAATATGCTGGTGCAATAGAGAATGTTTTGTATTAGCTATCAGGGATAATTTCCAGTCTTGTTACATACTAATGAAACAGATTTTGGGGGTTCTCAGCAAAGAACAGCTAAGAGAGTTGTTAAATTTTCAGTGTTGTACCTTTGGCTGCAAAGGTTATTTCTGGGTGCTTAGATCATTAAAGTGCTTGATGGTTGGTCTGTACACACATTCCAGAAAGGCTTCTGTTGCTGAGAACGGTCAACCAGCAATACAGGAGGGGACAGAAACCCTGCAGGTACTGCTCCCTTTGAGGGTAAGTCTGGGAAGAGGCTAAGTTCTGTTGACTCAGGGATGATCATGTTTATTGCAAATGCAATCTTTTCTTCCTTGAAATGTCATCACACTGGAAATTGTACCTATATAAAAAAAGTATAGTTTTCTATCTGAAATATACATAAATTATGGCCATTTGGTTTATCGGAATGTACTACTGTAATATGAAGCCACTGTATTTACTATAAATTCTTTTCTATTAAAATTGTTTTTTAAAATTTTCAAACATAGAAAATCATTTCATAAGAAGCACCCATGTGCACATCAACTAGATGTGTTTGAGTTAACTTTTTGCTACAACCTTTTAGAATAGAGGTGGAAAGCTAGGTCTTTCTTTTTTTTTTTTTAAGAGAGAGAACTTTTTAATATTTATTTTCTAGTTCCCGGTGGACACAACATCTTTGTTTGTATGTGGTGCTGAGAATTGAACCCGGGCTGCACGCATGCCAGGCGAGCGCGCTACCGCTTGAGCCACATCCCCAGCCCTGAAAGCTAGGTCTTTCATTCTTGATCTTCTTCCCTCGGGGCAGCCACCATCCTGATGCTGGCATGCCACCTCTTCTTTTGGCACTTACTATAAATGTTACAGGATAAAAATTTGATAGCATTATGGAAGGACTCAAAAGATTTTGAAAATTGTTTTAAAACTGTAAACTGGTGATAGAATGCAACTTCTCGTTTCGTTTTAATAATGGGTATTCAGGCTGGCCTCAAACTTGTAGTTCTCCTGCCTTGGCCTCCTGAATCGTTAGGATTCCAGATGTGTGCCACCACACCTGGTGGTTAGAGTGGAACTTCTTCCATACTGATGAAAGGCATCTACAAAAACTAAAAGCTTACATTATACTTAATGATAAAAGACTGAAAGCCTTCCACTTGGTGATCAGGATTAAGATGTGTATTCTCTCCTTTTATCCAACACTCTACTGGTGGCTCTAATTAGTACAATCAGGCAAGAAGAAGAAATAAATGTATTTTGATTACAAAGGAAGGAGTAAAAACTTTCATAAGAAAACATGACTATGGATGTGGAAAATGATCTACAAAAAAAGCTATGAAAGTAAATAAATTTAGCAAGACAGCAGGATACAAACCCAACAATTTTCTTTCTGTTTACTAACAATTAGAATCTGAAATTTAAAATACTGTTCCAAAACTAAGTAATACTAAACCTGTAAACTGAAAACTACAAATTATTGAGAGAAATGGAAGACAGAAATAATGGAAAGAAATCTTTATTTCTGGATCAAAAGAGTTGTTAAGATATCAGCTCACATATCAGAACAGATCTGAGGGTCCAAAAATAAACCAGTACATACACAATTTTTTAAAAAGATGCAAAGGTAATAGAGCAGAGAAAGAATAGCCTTTTTAACAAATGGCGCTGTTAAAGTTGGATCTATAGGACCTGGAAAGGAAAACAAAAGTGAACTTGGAAGCATACCTTGTAGCATAAATAAAAAGTAACTCAAAATGGATCATGGACCTAAGTGTAAAACTTAAAAACTATAACTCCTGGGCATTCTTATACAGATGAAAAAAGGAAATAAATTGTGACCTTAGTGGGAAGAGTTCAACAGATGCAACACTAAATAATAAACAGATGGGATTTAACCAAAATTTTAAAAAGTCTACTCTTGCCAGGTACAGTGGTACACATCTGTAATCCCAATCACTCAGGAAACTGAGGCAAGAGGATCACAAATTCCAGGCCAGCCTGATCAACTCAGTGAGACTCTGTCTCAAAAAGAGAATGAGGATGTGGCTCAGTGGTTTAGGTGCCTGAGTAGAATACACAAGACCTTAGATTCAATCCTCAGCACCTGGGGGTCGGGGAGAACAGAATGCGCACCCACTCGTTTCACATAAGAATACTGACACCAAACCTGGGTCTGGTGACCACTGTGTTCCAGCTTCATGTGGTTTGCATGGTCCTTTAATTGAACCTGAGTAGTCTATGACTGTGCTAATGCAATGTAGCACCACGCCCAGCCTTCCAAAAAACAGCTCCCACTTCCACTGTCTAAATTGTGAGGACCTTGAGCTGCCAGGTGAAACCTGCCACTTTTGAGAACAATATGAGACCACACAGATAAAGTGAGCCATCCCAGCCAGGCCACCATCAGAAGGCAATCTTGCAAGCAAGTTCTGTAGAACTGCCAAGCTGAGCCCACTCAAGTCACAGAAATGTGAGAAAATAAAATAATGTGGTTTAAAGCCACCACATTTCAGGTGATTTGTTTCAAAGAAAGAGATAACTCAAAACACTGACAAGGGCCGGGCACGGTGGTACACACTGGTGATCCAATTGCTTGGGAGGCTAAAGCAGGAGGATCATGATTTCAAAGCCAGCATCAGCAACTTAGCAAGGCCCTAAGTAACTCAGTGAGACACTGTCTCTACATAAAATATTTTAAAAAGGCTGTGGATGAGGCTCAGTACCTCTGGGTTCAATCCTCAGTACCTTAAAAAAAAAAAAAAAAAAAAAAACCACTGACAAGGTATAGACACACACACCCATGAATATAGTTCCATTCACTTTACAAACAAAAACTTCAAAACAAATAGGATTGTACTCCACCTACAGTACAGCTAATAATGGCCACACAAGACGGTTAATATTTAATAAAAAAAGGGAAACTTAACCTACTATTTTTCTTTATTTCTTGTTTTTTGTGGTGCTGAGATTTGAACCACTGAGCTATATCCTCAGCCCTTATCTTCGATTTTCTACATTGTACTGTTTTTACTTTTTTAACCTCTATACATATTACCTTTAGAAGAAAAAAATGATTTATGTTTAAAATTCCAGTCACAATTACAGAGAGTCTGTCAATATAAATTGATACAAATACCACAATTTTGAATTTTCAACTGATATTCATTAATTTCACATAAGGACTCAGGCTGGGTGGCTAACCCCCTATTTTGAGATGGTGAGTGAGCATCAGTCCTACTGCTTTAGAAAGAGACATAGAAATTGGGGCTAGAAAAGGGAAATTTGCTGGAAATAGCAATATCCATAGTGTCCTTCCTCTCTTCTTCCCAAATAATCATACAATGAATTAGTATGCCATTACATTATTACAGATCTTGACATTTTATTTTTAGAAAATCATCTTTATTCAAGTGATTTAGAAACATGTATTCCAGAAATTTGGACCCCTGGCATACAAAATACATATTACCAGAAAACACTCAATATTCATAAGGATCTGCCTTCTATCTGTACAGCCATGAAACTCCCTTTATTTTAAAGAAATTCAAACTTATGAATATTTATTTCTTTTCATTTATAAAAACATACTGTAACAAAAATGAGAATGTTTTGATTATAGAAAGAACTTTTTTAAAATTTTTTTTCAGGGGGGTTACCAGGGATTCCACCCATAGGCACTTTATCACCGAACCACTGAACCAAACCACATCCACAGTCTCACTAAATTGCTTAGGGCCTCACTAAGTTGCTGAGGCTAGCCTTGAACTTGTAATCCTCCTGCCTCAGCCTCCTGAGAAGCTGGGTTTACTTACAGGCATGTGCCACCACCTATGGCCAGATACAGCTTTTTTCCAGAAAGGAGCAGAAGGAATGGTATATACACAGAAACAAAGGTCCTTAATACACCTTGGCCAACTATTCCTTTTTTAAAATACATTTTAGGTATTGGGAATGGAACCCAGGACCTCCCATGTATGGGACAAGCACTCTACCATTAAACAAACCCCAGTTCTTTTTGGTTATCTTACAGTTATCTGTAAATTTTAAATCCAAGAGGGAAGTGCGGGGAGGAGCAGTTAAAGTATAGACATTTTTGTGGAATGTGTTCAGCCTCATCCTTGGCAAAGCCTCCCCATGTGGTCACCATGAGACGCAGTCATGACAAGACGCAGTTACGACAAGACATGCTCCAGAACTCCTTGTCTGATCAACTGCTCACACTTCCATCGAGGCAAAAAGTGCTACAGAGGAAAGGGAGTAAAAGGAAGAAGAGTAAGAAAAGTGACTTGAGAAAAAATTTTAAATTACATTTTTTAAGTAGTACTCTTGATATATATTTATTCTCATAAATGCCTTTCCAATTACATTTTGCATCATTAAAATGCAGTTGATTATGTTTTGAAAGCTAAGTAATGAAAAGCTAAACTTTATTTGTTGTTATAATCAACTAAAATTGATACCACTTGTAGCTATAGTGAATCAAAACTACTCAAGAAGCAAAATGTAATTTCAGTGATACTGCACTGGACATCCTACCTCACAAACCCAAAGGCCTTATGAAAGACCTCTGAACCAAATTCTTCCAAACCAGTCATGGGGACACAAAGACCAACAATTATTATCTAAAAAATGCCTTCCATATTGTCAAGTATTAAAGAACTTATGGTAAGAAAATGTTTTCCTATTAATGTTTACATTATATAGATGATGTACACCACAGATTCTGTAGACAATCAATTTTAGATATGGTCTGAATTATTGATTGTTTGGAACTTGCAATACTCTTGCCTCAGTCTCCCAAGTCACTAGGAATACAGGCATGTGCTATTATGCCCACCAAAACAGTTAAGATGATAAATTTTATGTTTTATATATTTTACTATAATTTCTTGTTCAGTGATGAGGACTGAACCAGAGACATGGTAGGCAAGACCTCTATCACTGAGCCACATCCTTATCCTGGTATGACATTTTAGAAACCCCTTGCATCAAATAGTTGATAATAAGTTTCAAATACAGTTATGTTTTTATGTTAATGTCTCTATTTCCACAGTTGAGGGAAAGATGATAGCTGGTAGACAAAATGTTAAAAGTATCAAAAGAGGAAAGCTTTGTTTATATGTCCACAAGGAGCAGATGAGTGTTCCAAGGAATCATTGCCTGAGCACACAGCAGACAATCAGCACACAGCAGACAATCAGAAATAAAGCCTAAGAAACAGATTCAACCACAGGACAGTTTGGGGATGAAGTGGTATCTTTACATTTACATATCTTGCTTTCTGAGGACACCTTTGCTCTTACTACAACTTCCTGCTGAATCCTCTAGAAATACAGTCTTTATTATGACAGCATGAATTTATCACTTGATTTTGACTCACTGGTACATACCTCTAAGAGTTATGGGAATGAAATTGCTTTAACAACCAAAGATTTTATGGTACCCTTAAAATCTGTTTTTAAAATATTCAATCTTTGTTTTAGGAGGCAATTGCTGTAAAATAACAGTAAACTAGACCAACTCACCTTGTTAGGGAAATAAGCCTAAGAATTATGTGACCTGAAACATTTTTTTGCTCCTGGGCTTAGTCAGCACCAGTGACTTTTGGTATCCTTAGACTTTCAACTGGTCAGTACCAAGATGACAGGCAACAAAGAAAAAGTGGCTCTTATAAAAGCCACAAATATCACTCATATACTGTGATTTCACAAAATGGGAATAGCATAAAAATAAACTTAGCTCATGTGAACCCATCAAATATGAAGACTGTTAAGGAAACATGCTTTATAAAGAAAAATTTAGCTCCAGTTATAATTTTACAACTTCAATCTTTCCCTATTAAATTGTTATATTAGCCAGGTACAGCCCACACCTATAATCACAATGACTCAGGACGCTGAGGCAGGAGGATAACAAGTTTGAAGCCAGCCTTAGAAACTTAGCAAGACCCTGTCTCAAAAATAAAAGGGGCTGGGATATAGCTGAATGATAAAATGCTCCCAGGCTCAAACAGAAAGTTATATATAAATTACTAAGAAATTCTTCATCTATGTCATTATTGTTTGCCAAATAATTAGGAAAATGATTGCATGGGAACTTTTTTTTACTACTTATAATTTGAAGACAGAAACTAAATCCAACATTTTAATAGCCCCAGATCATGATCTACTGTATACCTAGCATAAGGCCCATAAAAATAATTTCCCTGGAAAATGCTTAATATTAAATATGTTTAGAAAAAATAAACATAATGCCTAAAGTATAGGTGATCACAAAATGATATTTATTTTGCTACTGACTCTACATTTCCACACTCAATACTCTTAACAAGATTCAAGGTAAAATATCTAATGACAAGAAATACCTGGCTGTTTTTTTTAAGAAGGACCGAAGTGCCATCATCATCAACTTCAAATTCCCCATAGTCTTTTAGACACCGCACCTAAAAGGAAAAAAAAAAAAAACAAAAAACCTGATACTTTATCTAAATTTTTTGGTTTTTTCATTCTTTCTTTAAGATGTTACCCAGGATGATTCTGAACTCCTGGACTCAAGTGATCCTCCTGCCTCAGCCTCCCAAATGGCTGACACTACAGATTCATGCCACTGTACCCAACTTAAAATATTTTTAATAGGTAGTAAACAAGAAGAAATCAGGTAATACCTGAATACCTACAGAGTAAAATATTAGGCTTTCCATCTGTTTCCTTTCTGTATACTTGGGCCTGGTGCTACTACTGTGATATTCTCATGGTTCTAATTGTCCTGCTTTGATAGGGAAAAAGAAAAATGGCAAAATCTCTGAATGTGTATGTGTATTAATGTTGAAAGCAAGAACATCCAGGGAGCTGAATAAAGAAGATATCATTGGATCCTTTCCCCTCTGAAAATCCTGAAAAAGTAAGTTTTTGAAATATCTACCTACCAAAAGTTTAGATCTCCTCCAGACTGATTCTTGTAGCTCTCACCCATAAAATTTTTTTCCATACGATTTATTTTTACATTTTTTAGTCATACATGACAGCAGAATATATTTTGACATATAATACATACATGGAATGTACATACATCAATCATATTGTCTATTCTATTCTGCTGCCCTTCCTGTCCTCCTTACTCCTCCCCTCCTCTCCCATCCTTTCTGTCTATCCAATTTAATGTGACACACTTTTTTCTTTTTCTCATCACAACATCATGTATGTATTCTGTATAACAATGAGGTTCTCCTTCCATCTTCCATGCAACTCTCCTTCTCCCTCTTTTTCCCTCCCACCTCTCTTCCCCATTTAGTGGTAGTCTTCTTCTCATGCTCTTCCTCCCTATCCCATTTTGAGTCACCCACCTTATACCAGAAAAGACGTTCAGCATTTGTTTTTTAGGGACTGGCTAACTTCACTTAGCATAATCTGCTCCAATGCCATCCATTTGCCTGCAAATGCCATGATCTTGTTATTTTTTTAGTGCTGAGTAATATTCCATTGTGTATAAATGCCACATTTTTAATCCATTCATCTATTGAAGGGCATCTAGGTTAGTTCCACATTCTAGCTATTGTGAATTGTGCTGCTATAAACATTGATGTGGCTGTGTCCCTGTAGTATGCTCTTTTTAGGTCTTTTGGGTATAGTCCAAGAAGGGGAATAGCTGGATCAAATGGTGGTTCCATTCCCAGCTTTCCAAGGAATCTCCATATTGCTTTCCAAATTGGCTGCACCAATTTGCAGTCCCACCAGCAATGTATGAGTGTACCTTTTTCCCTGCACCCTCGCCAGCACTTATTGTTGTTTGACTTCATAATGGCTGCCATTCTTATTGGAGTGAGATGGTATCTTAGAGTAGTTTTAATTTGCATTTCTCTGATTGCTAGAGATGGTGAGCATTTTTTCATGTATTTGTTGATTGACTGTATATCCTCTTCTGAGAATTTTCTGTTCAAGTCCTTGGCCCAGACACCCATAAAATTTTTATCAATACCTGAGAATAGGACAGAGTTTGCCAAATGTCTACTTTTAGAACAGATTATTCCAATCTCCTCTGGTCATCAGACTTCCCTAGGAATTCTTAGTGTACACCATGAAGGAATAGATGCAGCCTCACATGACAAGAATTGGGAAAAGTTCCTGTTTGGAAAAGTGAGGTAGCCTTTTGATAATCACCTTTAAAACTGTAAAGAGACACTGAAAATAAGCAGGACAGTTTTCCTCCTCTATAAGAACACAGACTAGTATTCATTCTTAAGTACTAGGACTGGCTTCAAAACACTGCTACTGCTGGGCAGTAGCACACACCTATAATCCCAGTGACTCAGGAGGCTGAAGCGGATTCCCAAGTTTGAAGCCAGCTCAACAACTTAGCAAAGCTTTAAGCAACTTACTGAGAYCCTGTTTCAAAATTTTAAAAAAGGGCTGGGCACTTAGCTCAGTGGTAAAGTACCCCTGGGTTCAATCAATTCCCAGTACCAAAAAACAAACAAGAAAGAAAAGAAAAAAATGCTGTTTCCTTCCAGTAAAGCCAACTTCAGTGTCTCATACTTTTCCAGATAATTTCACCATGTCCTATGATTACTCCAGAATCTTACCAAAGTATTTTAACCTTGAAATACTATTCTAAAAAATCTCCACCACCTCCTATTTATTTCTTTAAGCAGACTTTTATTTTCCTCTTTGGATGGAGAGAAGATTGCTGGGGACTGAGTTGGGGGCCTATGTGTGTTAAGCATAAGCTCCACCACTGTACTACATCTCCAGCCCTAGACTGGACAAAAAAAATCCACAGCAAACATATCAATTGTGAAGGACTGAAATCTTTTCTGCCAAGTTCAGAAACAGTGTACAAATGCTCACTTTTGTCACTTATGGAAAACCTTGAACACATTCAAAAGTAAAAAAGACTAATGATACTCCATATTCACTTCAACTAGCTTAAACAATTAACATGTGGCCAAACAGGTTTCCCTCCTTCACTTTTGAATTATTTTCATATCTATTACTAGAAAATAAAATTCTTTTTAAAAACATAATTACATTACTATCTCAACACTTTTTTAATATCTTGAAATAGTCATTAAATATCCAATGTCCCCAATTGTCTCATGATTTTTTAAGTTTCTAGATTGAAATCAGAATTCACTTAGTTACAGAATACATTTTTTTTTTTTTTTTTTGGTCTTAATTTACAGGTTTCCCTCCCTCTTTTAACTTTTTTTTCCCTTCCTCCTGGCAATTTATCTGTTGAAGAAACTGAGTGGGTAGTTTGATGCATCTTGCAACAATCAAGATTTTGTTGTGGATTTTGGTGGGTCATTTACCATGATCCTCTTCCTGAATTTCCTATAAACTGGAAGACAGGTCTAGAGTTTTTTTTTTTTTCAGACAAGGTTTTGAATTTTGGCATTTCCTGTACTTCCTCTTATAAGTGGTCCTTTGTGGATTTTAAAAATGATCAGTGGGTCTAAGTGTTATCCATAACTATCCATCATAAAAGTCCAACTATTCACATAAAGATTAAGTAACTATTTTCTTCTAGCATTAGGGTTACAAAATGGCATTAGGTCTATCTTTTATTCCTACTGCTTTTGTTAACTGGAATTATATAACAAGTTTCCCTCATAAACTCTGGTGCTTCCCTGAGATAGTCTGTATTACTAATTTATGACCTTTCAAAATGACTTTGATCCTTCATTCTCCAAAAGGACTACATAATCACTTCCATATGTACGAGAAAAAGCACTTGGCAAAATTCAACACCTTTTCATGACAAAAACACTTAACCAACTAGGAACAGAAGGAAACTATGTCAACATAATAAAAGCCATACACAAAAAAATCCACTGCAGTAGCCAGGTGCAATAGTACACACCTGTGATCCCAGCAACTCTGGGGCTGAGGTAGGAGGATTGTCAATTTGAGGCCAGCCTCAGGACCTTGTGCCCTATCTCAATATAAAATTTTTAAAAATGGGGTGGGGATGTGGCTCAATAGTAGAATGCTTGCCTAGAATTCATGAGGCCCTGGGATCAATTCCCAGCACCACAAAATAAGTAAATCAGTTAATTAATTTTAAGAGCACTCGCCTTAGCATGTGCGAGGCCCTGGGTTTGATCCTCAGCATCACACAAAAATAAATAAAATAAAGATATAAATAAATAAATAAGGGCTGGGGTACAAATCAGTGGCACAGCACCCTGGATCTGATCCCCAATAATGCAAAGGAAAAAAAAATCCACAGCAAACATATCAATTGTGAAGGACTGAAATCTTTTCTGCCAAGTTCAGAAACAGTGTACGAATGCTCACTTTTGTCACTTCTGTTTAATATGTAATTGGAAGGTATAAATGAGTAATTGGGCAAGAAAAAATAAAAGCATCTAAATTAGAAAGAAGTTCAGCATGGTAGTGTTCTTCTGTAATCCCAGCTGCTAAGGCAGAAGGACCACAAATTCCAGATCAGCCTCAGCAATTTGGCAAGATCCTGTCTCAAAAAACAAACACCAACAGAAAGAATTAATTATTTCTGCCCATAGATGATATGACTGTACATGTAGAAAACCTTAAAGATCGCTTCAACACACACAAAAAACTGTAACTAGTGAATGAATTTAGCAAAGTATCAGGATACACAGACAACACACAAACCTCAGTTCCATTTCTATACACCAACAATGAAAATATGAAAAAGGAAATTACAAAAATAATCCCATTTATATAACATGAAAAAGAATACAATACTTAGGAATTAACTTAGCCAGGGAAATGAAAGGCTTGTCAATGAAAACTATTAATCACTGCTGAAAGAATTTAAAGAAGATAATAGTAAGTGAATATACCACCCATGTTCATGAATTAGAAGATACAATATTAAGAGGTAAACAGTACTCAAACCAATCTACAGAGTCAATACAACCCCTATTAAAATCTCAATATAACTTTTATAAAAATTTCAAAGATATATTTTGGACAAATAAAAAAAATCAATCCATAAAATCTCTAGAGACCTCAAACAGCCAAAATAATCTTGAAAAAGAACAAATTTTAGGGTCTCATTTCCTGATTTCAAAACCTACTACAAGACTTCAATAATTAAAATAGTCATTGTTCTGGCATAAAAACACACACATAGCAATGGAACAGAATACAAAATAAACTCTTTTTTTAATATATACTTTTTAGTTGTACGTCGACATAATATCTTTATTTTATTTTTTTATGTGGGGCTGAGGATCAAACCTAGTGCCTTACATGTGCTAGGCTGAGCCACAACTCCAGTCCCCAAAATAAACTCTTGAATCGTCTTATGAAAAGGGTACCAAGACCATTCAATGCAGAAAGAAAAATCTTTTCAAGAAAGACGTAAAAAGAAGAAATGTTGGAGTATTACATAACACCAAATACAAAAATTGACCTAAAGCACAACTCTTTGAAAACTTAGGGCAGAAGCTGTACAACTTTGGATTTGGCAATGATTTCTTGGATATAGCACCAAAAGAACAAGCAGCAACAACAACCACAGACAAACTGGACGGCATGAAGCTCCAATCTTTTGTGCATGTGAAGAAAGTACTAACAACTTAAAAAGGTAATCCACAGAATAAGAGAAAATATTTGCAAATCATATATGTGAAAAAGGATTACTATCCAAACTATAGAGAACCTGAAACTCAACAAAAATGTAAACCCAATTCAAAATGGACAAAGAAACCTGAAAAGATATTTTTCCAGACATATAAATAGCCAAGAAACGTGAAAAGATGCTCAACATCACTAATTATTAAAGAAATTCATCTCAAACCAAAAATGAGATAACATTTCTCACAAAAAATTATGAATGACCATAATTTTTTAAAAAGGGAAAAATATGATATAAATTTTGGTGAGGATGAAGAGAAATTGAAACCTTACGTGCATTATTAGGAGAATGTAAAATGGTACAGCACTTGTAAAACAGTACGGCAGTTCCTCAAAGTTTAAACACCATGTGACACAGCAATTCTATTTTGGGGTATACACCAAAAAGAAATGAAAGCAGGGTCTCAAATTGTGTGTGTGTGTGTGTGTGTGTGTGTGTGTGTGTGTACGTTTACTGAAGATGAAAGCCAGGGAATCGGCACCACTGAGAGTGCACTGAGATACATCCCCAACCCTTATTTTTAAACAGGGTTTCACTGGCCCAGGCTGGCCTCAAACTTACAAACCTCCTCCCCAATCTCCCTGGAATTACAGTATCCATCAATGGATAAATGGATAAGGAATATGGTTTACCCATAAAATGGAATATTACTTTAAGTAAGACCTAAAAAAGGAAAGAAATTCTGACACATGCTACAAAATGGATGAATCTTGAAAACATTATGCTACACAATAAGCCTGTCACAAAAAGACAATTACTTTATGATTCCACTTCTATAAGAAACGTAATAGTTAAAATCATAAAGACAAAGTAGGGGCTGGGGTTGTGGCTCAGTGGTAGAGTGCTCACCTAGCATGCGTGAGGCACTGGGTTCGATCCTCAACACCACATAAAAATATTGTGTCCACCTAAAAAAAAAAAAAAACTAAAAAATAAATATATTTAAAAAAAAAAAGACAAAGTAGATGGTGGTTTGCAAGGGCTAGGAAGAGAGAAGATTTGGGGTATTACTGTTTAGTGGGTTTAGTTCCGGTATTATGAGGCAAAAAGAAATCTCGACATGGACTGCACAATATTATGAAAGCATTTAATACTTTATGAACTATATACTTAAAGGATAGGTAAGCCGGGCATGATGGTACACGCCTGTAATCCCAGCAGCTTGGGAGGTTGAGGCAGAGGGATCACAAGTTCAAAGCCAGCCTCAGCAATTTAGGGAGGCCCTAAGCAATTTTTGAAAGCCTATTCCAAACTAAAAAATAAAAAGGGCTAGGGATGTGATTCAGTAGGTACAACCCCTGATACCAAAAAAAAGATGGTTAAGATGATGAAATTTATGTTTTGTATATTTTAGTGCAATAAAATAGGGGGAAAAGTTTAAAAACCAAACAGAAATAATTCCTATTTGTCTAATCTATCAACTTCAAAGATAGGTTCATTTGTTTCACTGTTTTCAAAATTTAGGGATTCCTCTGATCCCTGGCATCTCCACAGGTAGGGGTGGAGGAGGTGGAATAGGGACTGGGTTTCCATTTTGATTAAATTTTGTTTTCATAATAAGTAAAACATTCATATGGTTCCAGAGATAAAACTATAAAACAAAGTATGGTCACAGAATTTTAGCTATTTTATTGCTACCATCCCCATATTGGTCACCCAACTTTATTGGTTTGGGCTTATGCTTCCTTTATTTTTAAGTAGCAGCTAACATGTATTCATTCATATCCCTCTCCCTCACCTTAGACAAAAAGAAGCACAACCTATACATTAAAAAATGTACATACTAGGTGCAATGCCACACGCCTCTAATCCCAGTGGCTCAGGGGCTAAAGCAGGAGGATCATGAGTTCAAAGCCAGTCTGAGCAAATTAGCAAGGTCCTAAGCAACTTAGTGAGACCTGTCTCTAAATAAAAAGGGCTCGGGATGTGCTCAGTCATTACGCACCCTTGGGTTCAATTCCTGGTACAAAAAAAAAATTTATACATACTTCAATATATAAACTTTTTGGAGGTTTCATATCCTGTGTGATGTCCAAACCTTCATCTCCTCCCAGTGACCTCATGTAGGTAGCAAGGGACTTTTTATACTGATTAAACCACTCTATCTGCAAATATAAATACAGTTATTTAATAAAGTTATAAGAAAACTTGCACAAATTATATACTCGGCCTTTCAGAAACAGCATATACATCCCAATGTAGATCACTATTATGGCCATTCATTCATTTTACACTGCAATTATTGATTGCGTTCTATGAACCTGGCACTGTTGTGGATACTTAGGAGGGAACATTCAACAAAATGACAAAACTCTCTGCTCTCAAAAGTTTATACATATTAATAATAAACCTGTATTTATGATTGGAAACATCATAAAAACAACATTTCAGAATTACAAACACAATTATAAAATAGCATTGATGCTATTTCTGAAAATTAAAAAATACTTTTGAGAAAACAACCCAAGTATGCATCAACCGATGAATGGATATATATATCCACACAATAAAACAGTATTCAGTCATAAACAGAAATAAAGTTCTGAAACGTTTTTTACCACACAGATGAACCTTGAAAATATAAACTAAGTGTAAGAGGTAGAAGGCTATATATTGCCATGATTCTACTCATGAAAAACCCACAGTAGGCAAAGAGACAAAAGTAGATTGGTGATTTCTAAGTACTGAAAGGGAGAAACTATGGAGTAACTGATGAAGAATACATGGTTTCTTTTGGGGGTGAGGAAAATATTCTGGAAAAGAATGATAGTAATGGATATACAATTCTGTAAATATACTGAAAACCAATGAATTTTATACTTTAAAATGATAACATTGTGGTATAAGAAAGGTATCATAGGGCTGGGGATATAGCTCAGTTGGTAGAGTACTTTCCTTGCATGTTCAAAGCCCTGGGTTCAATCCCCAGCACCACAAGAAAAAAAGAAAAAGAAAAATAAATGGATCTTGGTAATCTATTATTTAATTTTTTAAAAATCTGTTAAAGGTGTATTAAGAATTGTATTGCAAAAAAAAAGAGTTCTTGTATAATGGCATAATTTGGCGTGAACATACTTTATATACAGAGTTAAGAAAAATCGTGCTGTGAATGGATAATTATGAATGTAATGCATTCAACTATTGTCATGTATGTAAGAAATTTTTTAAAAAATCTGTTATCCAAAAACCATTGAAATGAAAGAAGATCTAAATATATGGAGTGTATACCACATTAACAGATCAAACAATTCAATATTGTAACTATGTCAAATGATCTATGTTCAACTCGGTCTCACTCAAAAAATTTGAAGGCAGGTGCAGTAGAGCATGCTTGTAATCTAGCAGCTCAGGAGGCTGAGGCAGGAGGTTTGTGAGTTCAAAGCCAGCCTCAGCAAAAGCAGAGTGTAAGCAATGTTGGACCCTGTCTCTAAATAAAATATAAAGCAGGACTGGGAATGTGGCTCAGTGATTGAGTGCCTGAGTTCAATCCCTGGAACCCCCCATCCCCTCAAAAATGACAGATTGAAYCTAAAATTACACAGGAATGCAAATGGTCAATAGTTGAAATACTTGAAAAAGAACAAGATGGGAATGCTTGTTCAGACATTATGATAAAGTTAAAGTAATTATAACAGTGGAATTGGTGCTAGGAGAGAAGAAAGAACTCCCATCCAAAATCCACAGATACAGAAATATACAATTTATGTCAGAGGTGGCACCATGCATAGAGTAGGTGGATCCAGGAGGATCTTTTTTTTTTTTTTTTAAAGAGAGTGAGAAAGGAGAGAGAGAGAGAGAGAGAGAGAGAGAGAGAGAGAATTTTTAATATTTATTTTTTAGTTCTCGGCGGACACAACATCTTTGTTGGTATGTGGTGCTGAAGATCAAACCCGGGCTGCACGCATGCCAGGCGAGCGCGCTACCCCTTGAGCCACATCCCCAGCCCCAGGAGGATCGTTTTATTTATTTATTTATTTTTGGTGGTGCTGGGGATTGAACCCGGGGCCTTATGCATGCGAGGTAAGCACTCTACCAAATGAGCTATATCCTCAGCCCCATACACTTGCTTTTCTGTTTCTTTTTTTCCAGGAGGATCTTTTTCATAAATGGTACTAGGTGATCTCAATATCCCCAGTACCAAAAAAAAAAAAAAAACTTACCATAAAACAAAACTAAACTAAACTGAAAGAGCCTGGGGATAAGACACCTTTGGGCAAAATCCCTAGCACAAAAATAATAAATAAATAAATATATCCTACAGGCTAAACCAAGAGGTCTCTCACGCCAAGTGGGCATTAGGCAATGTCTGGTGATATTTTTGATTGTTACAACTTGGGAGAGGAGAGCACTGCTGGCACCTAGAGAATAATACCCAATGGTTGCTGCTAAACCCCCGCCAATACTAAGGACAACCCCCAATGATTATTCAGTCAAAAATGCCTACTGAGATTAAAACACCTTGGACTTGAGTGACCACATAATGTATATTGTGCATATAATTTAATATACAAAGAATCCAGACACTTCTGAAAATGAAGAGGTAATATAAGTAATGATAACAGGGTAACAGGTATAAACTAGGACATATATTCCCACATGGAAATTCCATTCCCAGGTATTCAGAAGAAATGCATACTTATTGCCATATTACAAGAATGTTCATAATAGCATTATTCATTACTGTGAAAAGCTAGAAACAGTATCAACAATAAATTGCAGCCCCTACTCAGAATGGAATAGTATATGGCAGTGAAAAAAGTCAAAATGCTGTATGAATAGAAAAAGTTCAAAAATAAACAACACTAAGTTACAGTGTTTAGGGATGCATGCTTAGGTGGTAAAATAATATTTTTTAAAGCAAGGAAGTGATTAGTCTGCACAAATGTCAGTGGTGACATGGGGAGAAGGGATGCAGAGCTTCTAAGGTGATGTCTTTCTTGAATAGGGTGATGGATTCATGGGTATTTCTTGGTGACACATTATGAAGCTCTTTATCTTCTTTTGTACATCTCTTTGTATGTATATGTGTATGTATGTGTGTTACATATAAATTTCATAATACAAATAATGAAATGGATTAAAAAGATTCAGAAGGGTTAAGAGAGGATGTATGTGGTAAAACCTACATTATATTTTATAATAACCAAAAATTTTAAATCATGTTTTATTTTGATAAGTATGATGAAAAACTTTGAGATGATTCCAAACAAGTCAAACATGGATCTTTCCAACTTGTTTTTTCCTGGAGTGTCTCTACTGAGGACAGCAAAATATAATGGGCTCCAAAGAGAAACAAAAAGTGAGAAAAAAATAATACAAAGTTGATTTAACTTCACTCCCGGATGAAAGAGCAATGCAGAATATACACATTCCTTCCATAAAAGAACATACTGACATTGTCACAAAATACTTGTTTATGGAAAAATATTAATATAAAAAAATAACCTATTTTCATTACCTTTCATGTTAGTGACCTATACAGACCTATAGATTTTATAGTTAAAAACAAGGTTAGGAGATCAAAAGCTACAGCATAAAAGATCTTACTATTTTGAAATCAGATGAGAATATTTTTATGTCTTAACCATATATGCACTGTACAATGAAGAAATTGGGCCAAGTGCAGTGGTTCATGCCTATAAGTTCTGTTATTCATGAGGCTGAAGGAGAAGAACTCCAAATCTGAGGCCATCCCGGGCAACTTAAAGAGGACCATCTCAAAATAAAATCTCCAGCTTGGTGGTAAAGCCCTTGCCTAGCATTTACAAGGTCCTGGGTTCAATCCCTAGTACTACAAAAAATTAAATAGTTTTTGGTACTGGGTATTTAATCCAGGGGTACTTTATCACTGAGCCACATCTTCAGTCCTTTTTATTTTGAGACAGGGTCTCACTAAGTTGCTGAGGGCCACACTAAGTTGCTGAGGGCCACACTAATTTGCTGAGGCTGGCCTCCACTTTATGATCTTCCCATTTCAGCCTCCCAAATTTCTGATTACAGATACATGCCACTGCGACCAGACAGAATTTTTTTTTAAGATGAAGAAACTGGCTGGCTTTTGTTTGCATACTTGGGAGGTAACTTCTAAATCCATAGAATTTTTCAAATAATAGAAGTTTCTTGTCATTCATAGTAATTTCTGATAATATGTACTAATGAGGTGACTCATGGAGGACCCCTGGATAATTTGTACTAACAAGATGACTCAGAGAGGGGGCTAGCTAATCCAGAAAGATTACCATGTTATTAGATATGGGCTTTTGGCCTCTTGATATCAGTTTGACCTCTGGGGAAGGTAGGAGGGATTCAGACTGAGCTCAATCTTAGTACCAGAGATTCAGCCAGTCATTTTCTGGAACGAAACCCTAGCACTCTGGATACCAATGCTTATATGAGCTGCCATGGTAGAGAATATCCCATGAGTACTACTATTATACCTAAATGTATTAGAAGGGTGTTAATTTCTGACAGGGAAAAGATGCCAGAAGGTTCAAGTCTAGGACCCTCTTAACCCTCACCCTGTGAGCCTCTTTTTTTGGCTGATTCTGATTTTGTGTTCTTTTTTCTCTAGGACATTTAAGATTTAAGCATAGTGGTTTCCTGAGTTCTATGAGTCACTCTGGAGAACTGTTGAACCTTAGGAGATAGTGATACCTCAGAACTTGTGACTCTGGCACCTTAGGATTTGTGTCTGGTATCTGAAGTGAGAGCAGTGTTGTGGAAGATTCTGTGAAATCTAGTCTAACTCCAGGTATTTAGTGTCAGAAGTCATTGCAACCTTGTAACAAGTAGATACTATGAACTTCATTTTGTAAATAAGAGAATTTAGGCATAGAGAGAGGTCAAGTTGCTTGCCAAAGATTCGACCGTTAGTGGAGAACCACTAACTGGATTTGAATCCAAGTCTGCCTGACTCCAATCCTGTGGCCTTAAATACTGAGCTAGCTCTGTCCCTAAGTAACTGGATAAATTAAGAATTTCATTTATAATATGAATTTGTAATATTGTTTAGAAAGTGTGTATGTGTGGTTGGGTATAGTGACACACTCCTGTAATCCCAGAGACACAGGAGGCTRAAGCAAGAAGATAGCAAGTTCAAGGTCAGCCTCTGCAATTTAGCAAGGCCCTAAGCAACTTAGTAGGACCCTGTCTCAAAATAAAAAATAAAAAGGACTGGAAATGTAGCTCAGTTGTAAATCACTCCTGGTTTCAATTCTCAGTAACAAAGAAAGAAAGAAACTGTGTGTATGCACTTGCCTATGTACATATATATACATAAACATGCATATATTTTATGGAAAACACCAACTAATAACACCAGTATTTAAACCCCACTAATTGATCACTTATAAATCACATAATGGAATTCTATTTTGCTGAGTAATAACAGAGTTTTCCAGATAGCATTTAGAATTATTCCCTACCACATATTTTTCCATCACAGTATACACAAAATAATGTCAAAACTTGCCTAAGAACAGATATTAAAAACAAAAGGAGAAACAACCCTATTACAGAACAATACCACAAACTCCGCATTTTCATAAAATTTGAACAATGCAAACTTACTTCTTCAGCAGACATGTGAAATCGTAAAGCACTTGGCAAAACACTGCCATATTCCCACCTGAGAGCTCTAATCCGAAGCAATCGGTCATACCTACAACATATAGAAGGAATTAGACAGTATAAGAATTAAAGGGGGAAATTAGAAGTTCTTCTGATGAGGATAGACTCAAGATTCACAACAGCCTAAATAAAATATACTTGTTTCTTGATGTAAACAAGCCAATTATAAGAAGGTATCTTTGAAACAATGGAACAAACATRCAGATGGACTGAACAGATGCCATGAAGACATTGTTCACTCCTCCAGTTGTGACACCATACAGTGGTTATAAAGGTCCAAATGATCCTTATTTTTTACTTTTACTTTTTTTATATTTTGGTACTAAAGATTCAACTCAAGGTGTTTAACCACTGAGCTACGCCCCCAGGCTGCCCCCTTTTTTAAAAAAATTTTTTGAGATGGAGTCTCACTAAGTTGTTTAGGGCCTAGCTAATTTGCTGAGGCTGGCTTGGAACTTGTGATCCTCCTGCCTTAGCTTCCCGAGCCATTGGGATTACAGGTAGCGCCACCATGCCCAGCCAATTCTTATTTTTTAGAGAAATAAGAAAAACATTAAAGATACTAAAATAGTGGTAAAGTGCATAATATTCTAAAAATATATATGATGAAGTACTATGGCAAAATATTAAAAAGACATAAAGGTACTGGGGATGTAGCTCAGTTATAGAGTGCTTTCCTAGCATGTGGGAGGATATGTCCCATCCCCAAAATTGCCAAAAAAATTAAAAATAAAATAAATTGACCTAAGGGGATATGATGACTCTGAGGGTTTATTAATCTTCGTCCTTTAATGAATATTGCAATTTTTCATAACAAATTTTTAAAAATATAAAAAGAGAAGATTTAGAATATTTATAAAGAGACAAGAGATAGCCAGGCACAGTGGTACATATCTACAATCTTAGCAACTCAGGAGGCTAAGACAGGAGGATACCAAATTGGAGGCCAGCCTCAGCAACTTACCAAGATCCTGTTTCAAAATAAAAAATTTAAAGGCCTGGGGGTGCAGCTCTGTAGTACAGCATCCCTGGGTTCAGCCACAGTACTGCAAAAAATGTTTTTAAAAAAGAGAGACAAATCTAAGATTTCCTGCTACCCATTTGGAAAGGTTATCTGGAAAACCAAACCACACAGAAAACCCTCTGGGTTCCTTCCATCCCAAATAAACAGTGAGAAACTTACAAGTAGGCAACAGTGCAGCGTCGATTTCTTAACAGAGAACAGTGCCGAAATTTAATAGTTGGTATCAAATCACCTCGTCCACCCAACTTTGCTTCATTTCTGATAAGAACATTAAAAGAACAAAACGTATACATGGGTATGTTACCATATTAGTAAAAATTTCAAAGCCAACAACTACTAACTTAAATGCTTGGGGTTTTTTTGTTTGTTTGTTCTGGGTTATTTTGTGGTGCTGGGGATCAAACTCAAGGCTTTGTGCATGCTAAGCAAGCACTCTTCCACTGAGCTACACTTCCCACCCCACAAATTGTCCAAATACAGGGAACAAGGAAAACTATTTCCTTATTGGACCAAGGACTGCTAGACCATCTCCAAAATATCTTTATTTTTCTGTTCACTTTTACTAACTCCAGGTCACCTCTCCAGTCACCTAGATAACCAATGTACCTCCCTCTCCTCTTAGCTTCCCCAGGAGCTGTGCGCAGGACAGCCAGGATAGTTTCTTAAGACACAAATGAGTCACCACCCATCCACACTTAAAAATTGCATTTGGTGTCACCCTCTGTTCCTTACTAAGCAATCAATGCCTCAATAAAACCACTTCTCCTTTAGGCCTCAGCTGAAATGTCTCTTCCTTAGAATGGCCCTGATTCCTCAATCTAAGTTGTATCTTCTTTAAGTGTCTCCCAGCCCTCTGTTGCCTTCTTTCACAGCATGTCTCCCAATTTGGTATGTCTGTATTTAATATTTATCTCTGCACTAGACTAAGAGTCACAAGAACAGGAATCTGGGCTATATCAATTACGAGGCAAATACTGGGGCCATTTGTTGGCATATCCTTTTTCAGTGCATATTTGTTGAATGAATTAATGAATATCATTTGCTGCAACTCTGCTGAGGTTTAGTTCCTCATTCCATCTATAAAGATTTTTCTGTTATTTATCCTAATACACAGAAATGGGAAAGTGCTCCTATCATTTGTGTGCCCCACAAATCTTATCAGCATGCCACCGATTTCTATATCAAACTAACTCATAAAAACATTCTACCTAAGCCATTCTACTCAGGCTACACTCTACAAGGCCAAAGAAGAAATCTCATGTCACAGAGATAGATGTCTCTATAGATTTAGATCTTGGCCACCTCAATTTTGATCCAGCACTTTATGTCACTGGAACCTGTGAAGTTTGTCACATAGCCCAGATTCCTCGTTGTTCCAATTAGCATGTTCAGATCTAAATATTCTATGAAACTAGAGGCTTCTCTTGACCTACTAAGCTGTATCCCTCTGTTAACATCAGTTCTCAGTGAAGTCCACTCAAGCTATCAGAAATCACATGCTATTAGTGCCAATTTTACAAATTATTCCTTAGTCAAATTAAGACATCTATTAATGAAAACAGTGGAAACTATATATTTCACTTTGTTATGGTTTTTATTTGCTTGTGTCTCATCTTTTAAACTCTGCCTTAATTCCTTTTAACTCAATATATATTAGTCAAACCACAATAATTTTTAAATATCTACCACTTACCAAGCAATGATCAACACAAATCCATCTATGTCCTGGCTCTGTGTTAACTTGTACAGTTAGGGTATGATCAGGCTCACAGAGAATTGGAAAAAAAAAAAAAAAAAAATCCACATCCCCAAAACTGACATAAGCCAGGCATGATGGCACACACTGGTAACCTAGTGACTCATGAGGATTGCAAGTTTGAGGCCATCCTTAGCAACTTAGTGAGGCCCTGTCTCAAAATCTCAAAATAAAAAAAAAGGGGGGGGGGGCTGTGCATGTAGCTTAGTGGTTAAGTGCTCCATGGTTCAATCCCTAGTACCAAAAAGGAAAACAAAAAAAAAAACATACACTCACAAAAAAAACATGATGTAAGATTATATGACTTCAACTTCTTAAATTGTTTTAAAATATCAAAACTTACACATCAGACTGGTTTTGTTCATATAAAGCTTTCATTTCCTCCAGAACTTGTCTGATTCCATCCTCCTAAAACATATAAACTGATATTGATACAAATTCATTTATTTCTCTACCAAATCTGTGACAATATTGTTTGTACTATATTGATCTTTGATTTACAAACCTTACAAAAAAAAAACAATAGGATGGCAGTGGTGTTAGCAAATAATGTTAACTGGATATCCCCATGAAAAAACAATCCACTGGCTCATCAAAAGTTAAAAAGAATTACTATATGATCCAGCAATTCCACTCCTAAGTACATATCCAAGCAAACTGCAAACATGTTCCCACAAAAATCTGTACAGAAATGTTCTTAGCAGCATTATTCATAATAGTCCAAAAGAAGAAACAACTCAAAATGTCCACCAACTGATAGATGAATAAACCAAATGTAGTATAAACCTTCAATGGAATATAATTCAACCCTAGGAAGAAATGAAGTACTGATAGATGCTACAACATGGATGAATCCTGAAAACTTCGTGCTAAATGAAAGACACCAGACACAAAATAAAAAGTATTGTTATGGCTCCACTTATCCAAAATATTTAGCAAAGACAAATTCATATAGACCCAAAATAGTTTAAAGGTTACCAGAAGCCGCAGAAAAAGGGAAACTGGTACAATTATTGCTTAATGGTGAAAGAGTCTCTGTTTGAGGTGATAAAAAGGTTTTGGTAATAGTGGTAATGATTGATGACAATGTGAATATAATTAATGCCATTAAAGTTCACAGTTAAAATGGCTTTATATGGCTGGGCGCGGTGGCACAAGCCTGTACTCCCAGTGGCTTGGGAAGTGGAGGCAGGAGGATCTCAAATTCAAAGCCAGCCTCAGCAATTCAGCAAGTTTTGCTAAGCAACTCAGTGAGACCTTGTCTCTAAATAAAATACAAAACAGGGCTAGGGATGTGGCTCAGTGGTAGAGTGCCCCTGACTTCAATCTTGGTACCCAAAAGAAAATGACTTTATATGTGTACATCTTACACAGTGAAAAAAAATGTAAAGGCTCAATTTAAAGGAATGAATTACTGAAACCATACAAAATAAGTATAATCTCAAATATATTACACTAAGCTAAAAAAGGCCAGGCACAAGAGTGTATACTATGTAATACCATGTAGCCCTTTACAGAAAAAGTTTGCCAGTTCCTGGATGTGGAACAGCAATATGCAGAAAAGGAGAAATATAACCTGTAGTGAGAGAAAGCAAATTGGTTGCCAAAGGCTGTAGCAGGGAGGTTGGCTACAAAATAAAACAGTGGTGGGCTTTATAAAATCCCGATCAGGGTACTGGTTATAAAGTATACATTTGTCAAAATTTGTAAAGTCTATTAAACTGTATGTTTTGTTATATATAAATTATATCTCAGGCAGGTGTAGTGGCACCCACCTATAATCCCAGCAGCTTGGGAGACTAAGGCAGGAGGACTGCAAGTTCAAACCAGCCTCAGCAACTTAGTGAAGCCCTAAGCAACTTAGTAGAGACCCTGTCTCAAAATAAAAACTTAGTAGCAAACAAACAAACAAAAATCCTCAATAAAAATGAATGCAAAAAAATAATAATAGAAAGAGACTAAGGAGACATGACAGCTAAATTCTTATTTGGATTCCTAAAACAAATAAATTAGTGCTGAAACCCCCCCCCMAAAAAAAAAATTAATGCCAAACTATGTATTTGTGCAGTGATGGTTCAAATTCTTCTTACATAAGAAATCTGTACATATAGGCACCTTGGAATCAAAAGAGTATACAATAAATCCCATTTTTTAAGAAACAAATAATAATCATCATCATCATCATCATCATCATCATCATCCTACAGAAGCAATAAGGCATGTATAACCAAAGCATGTAAATTATTATTTACTGAAAATGGTCTTTAAAGGGTTAATTACCCCACCCCAAAAAAGTACTTTAAGTTTGTACTACAAGAATAAGAAGGCCAAAAGAGTTTTCCTACTACCCACCCTGGAGCAGTTTTTTTTTTTTCTTTTTAACTTTCTATTAAATAAAATATTAAATTTCATGAATGTGGGGCTGGGGATGTGGCTCAAGCGGTAGCGCGCTCGCCTGGTATGCGTGCGACCCGGGTTCGATCCTCAGCACCACATACCAACAAAGATGTTGTTTCTGCCGAGAACTAAAATAAAAAATAAAAATAAAAATAAAAATATTAAAAAAAAAAATTAAAAAAAAAAAATAAATAAATTTCATGAATGTTACACAGAAACTCTGTGAACAATCCAAAGAAAAGATTCCCATTTGTTTTCCCAACCTATTCTTAGGGCCAAAATATATGTATTAGCATATATTTTTGGTAGAAGATGAAATAATAAAGCACTTGCCTAGTATGCACAAGGCCCTGGGTTTGATCTCCAGCACTGCAAATAAAACTTTTGATATACCACTACACAACTACTTAACCTACTCAAGATATAATTCCTGATAATTTAAGCAAGAGGCTGTGGATATAGCTTAGTTGGTAGGTTACTTGCCTCGCATGCACAAAGCCCTGGGTTCAATTCTCAGTAACACACACACAGACACACACATACACACACACAGACACACACATACACACACACACACACAAAATGTAAACATGACTTTTACTTTCTCTTTTAGCATCTAATTTTTAAAAATTATGGGAAGGTTTGATTTATAAAAACTCAATATTTTTATAAACAAATGTTATTTTAAAACATTGTACAACTATATATCTGTAGGTATACAAAAGCCAGATATGAAATAATTCTTTGAAATATACGCAAGTTTTCAGACTTTGAGTTTTATCTATAAAGGAAATTACATCTATTCTGTGCGCATCTCAGACTATAAGCTTCCAACAGCTCAAGATAATAGTCTTTCATTTAGGGTACTCAGGATTGAACCCAGAAGCAATTAACCACCGAGCCACATTCTCAGCCCCCTTTTTTATTTTGAGACAGGGTCTTGCTAAATTGCAGGTGCTGGCCTCCTCCTGCCTCAGCCTCCCAAGTTGCTGGGATTACAGATGAGTGCCATCATACCTGACCCCAAGATAATATTCTTAAAAACATTTTTTTTTTTTTAGCTGGGGGTGGGGGTACTCTACCACTGAATTATATTACCAGCCTTTTTAAAATTTTTTTGAGATAAGGTCTCACTCAGTTGCCTAGGCTGGCCTGGAACTTGTGATCACCCTGCCTCAGCCTCACAGGTTCACTGGGATTATAGGCTGAAAACATACTTTTTTAGGGGGAATAAATTCAGTTTTGCATACAGAAAGGTAGTAATCATTTTTTAGTTTGCTGAATACAGCACCCAACTACAAGTGATTCTAGAATAAACAAGGCAAAGCCTCTGCTCTAAACCCCTGGCTGTCGTCTACCTGGTATGGGAGGAATGAAGAGATGATTTTTTTTTTTTTTCTTAATTGAGACAGGGTCTCCCTATATTGCAGAGGTTGGTTCTGAACTTGTAATCCTCCTGCCTCGCCCTCTGAGTAGCTGGGATTATAGGCATGTACCACCACATGATTCTTGAAAGACTGCTGCATTTCAGATCAAGTATTGTCTTCTCCCATTCAGCTGTGTCTGAGGCCAGTCTCTACAGACTCAGTCTTCCAGGCAGCAGAGTCACCTGCCTAGCAGGTGTTTTAGTCAGTGAAAGGCACTAATGAGCAAAAGATAACAAAAGATACTCTCACAAATTAAGACTTTAAAGATAGTGATAGTCACTGTCTTCACATTACAGCTTCTAAGACTCTGGCCCCCTAAACCAACACTTTAATCTTAAAATTTGAATAAAAAGCCAGGCATGGTGGTGCTTACCTATAATCCCAGTGACTTGGGAGGATAAGGCAGAAAGATCAAAATTTTGAGGCCAGCCTGAGTAATTTAGGGACACCTGACTCAAAATCAAAAATAAAAAGGACTGGGGACATAGCTCTGTGATAAAGCACACCTGGAATCAATCCCCAGTACCCCCTCTGCCCAAAAAATTGAGTAAAAAGAGTTAAGATTAACCAATCATAGTGGCACACACCTGTAATCTAAGCAGCTCGGCAGGCTGAGGGAGGAGGATCGAGCGTTCAAAACCAGCCTCAGCAACAGTGAGGTGCTAAATTACTTGGTGAGACTCTGTCTCTAAATAAAACACAGAATAGGGCTAGGGATGTGGCTCAGTGGTTGAGTAACCCTGAGTTCAATCCCCGGTATCCCCCCCTCCCCCAAAAAAAGAACTAAGACTAAGAAGTGTATGAAGAGCCAGGTTCCAGCCCACCAGCACCTGTTTGGACACTTCTCTGCCTCTTTGGGCCCCATTTCCTCATATGTAAGATAACCTCCACAATAACTAGTTCTATGATCCAGTACGGAGCCAAATTTTAGAGCCTACACACATTCCAGCATCTTTGCTCAGTTTTGCACTATTGTCTCCTCACTTTTTAAATGAGGTAACCTTACTTTTTTTTTTTTTTTTAGAGACAGGGTCTCACTGAGTAAAAAGACAGACATGGTAAGGCTTAGCGCCTCATTTTTGCTGAGGCTGGCTTTGAACTCTCCATCCTCCTGTCTTAGCCTGCCAAGCCGAAGCAAGAGCCTGAGCCCTGCATGAGGTAACTATTCTAAATTGAAAAAGAGATTATACAAGACTGTGGAACCAGCCTAGATGCCCTTCAATAATAGATGAATGGATAAAAAAAAATGTGGCATTTATATACTATGGAGTATTATTCTGCATTAAAAAATGACAAAATCATAGAATTTGGAGGAAAATGGATGGCATTAGAGCAGATTATGCTAAGTGAAGCTAGTCAATCTTTAAAAAACAAATACCAAATGACTCCTTTGATATAAGGGGAGTA